CATATCCGCGTCCTCTACCACGACCATGACCAAGACGTGCTAACTTAGGACAATCCCTCCTGTAGTGTCCTAGGCGGTTGCATTCAAAGCAGTTATCATTATTCCTGGACCCATCTTGGTGTTGATTTGATCGAGAACTGAACGTATGAGCTTCTTGTTCGCTCTGTTTTCTTTTCATTTCAAGTAGTAATTTGGACTTCACGTACTCCACTGTCCGATCCTTTGTCGGCATCGCATCAACAATATTTACAATATGTGCAAAACTCTCAGGTAATGCAAGCAATAAATAGTTCAGTCTATCCTCTTCCGACACGACTTCTCCAGCATTTTTCAATTCATTGATTTGTTTTTCAAATGTTTGTATGAATTCTAGTATATCGTCGCCATCTTTGAATTTTGTTTCTAGTACTTTCCTTTTAAGCAATAGTTTATTAGCACTGCCTTTTACTAAATACATCTCGTCAAATTTTTTAATCATCCCGTAAGCCGTAGTTTCATTCATTATTATATCGAGCTGAGTATTATTTACGCTATTCACTATAATATTTCTAGCCTTTAAATCAATTTTTCTCCATTCTGTGTCTGTCATACCTTCATGTTTCATATCATTTTCCACAGCTTCTTGGCATTCTTTCATTTGTAACAACAACTTTAATCTAAATTTCCATTTTTCATAATTTGCACCATCAAATATCTGAATGCCCGCTTCTCCTATCTTTACTTCCATTTTCGGTAGCTTACGTCTTCAAATGTTTCGGTACTGACCTTGTCAAATAATTTCCACTTATCTTCCTCTTTCTATTTATTTTATTCAACAACGCTCCTTTGCTACCATGTTGAGGAAGTGGATCGTAGAAAGGAAAGACAATCAGCTCGTAATATTTAGTTTATGTAGTCCCAATCACATTACATTTTTATAGGTATACACCGTTGACGTATTTGCAAAAGTCCTAGAATGAAGTAACGGTGACATAGAGAACAGGCCATCGAGTCGCCCTAACAAGAAGGTTTTACATAAAATCATATCTTCAACACACCTCCTTGATTTTATAGAAAACAACAAAAAAACAACTTAATACCAATATAACAATTTAAAATAATAATAAAAGGACTTAACAAAAACATAAGACTATCTGTCATTAACATTTCATTTGACGTTTGCTAGTTCTCTAAGTTTTATAAATTTATTTTTTCCTAATGCCTTGGTCAATATATCCGCTAATTCATATCTTCAACACTCCGAAAAAATATTAAAATTAATCACCACATGGCTTTATATTAATTGCGCTTTTGCGCCCAAAAAAAGCTTATATTTCCTTCGTAGTACTCATTATTGGCCTTTTCCAGGACAACTGTCGGCAGGAGGCACTTCTAGTTCTTACCAAAATTCTAGTGCTCATTTACCGATAACGCTTGGAAGCAGGCCTCTCTCCCTGTTCGTTTCAGGGATCTAGGTACTCGCCATATTTCCCATATTGCCCTTCCCGCTTTTCTGTCTTCTATAAATGGTACAACCGATCTTTTTAATTAAATATTATGACCATTCTCTTTAGGATGAAAGAGAAAGAGAGAGAATTCAGATTCAGTGGGACGAGCCGCTCTATTTGCGTATTCAGTGATCTCTTAGCATCCTCTGAAAGCGCCACTGAGCGTGCTCGTCTCCTAGCGGTCTTTCAGACAGAGTCTGGTTACTGGCTGCAAGCTTTACCTACAGTCAATATCGGAACTAAGCATGCTAAGAGCACTCTATCTCTTGCAATATCGCTTAGACTTGGCATCAAGACTAATCATCCCCATCTCTGTCGTCGCGGTACTCGCGTCGGTGAGTTGTGACACCATGGCCTCTCAAGCCAAATTAGTGTTGGCTGAGTCTCTCGCCACGCCTGCATTAGTGAAGTCGGCTGCAGAGCTCTTGTCGCTGTCAATTAACAATGGTCTTTGAGCCTAATGGCATCTTCGGTGACGATGGCAAGACACCTGATGGTATGATGCTTATTCCTTGGAAGCAGGGTCGTCCTCTTGAATGGGACGCAACTTGCGTGGATACGCTTGCTCCGTGTCATACAGGTAGTACCTCCCAAGCTGCAGGCGCGGCGGGACGCAAACTATTCAGTTTAGAAGAAATTGATACACGTATTAGACCAGGGTCGATAATTTTTGAGACAAAAAAAAATTATAGTAGGATGAAACCCATTAGAAAAGGTAGAGAATATAACAAAAATGAAAGGAAAAATAAATTACGGGCGATCTGAGGTCGGGAAGGGGAAGGGGGTGAGTTTTTAAGGGTAAAAAATGGTTAATCTCGATTTCCGGTAAAACTGCAAGTCCTATGAAAAAAGTTAAATGGCAAAGTTGTAGGTAATAAAAAGATCTACAACTTTTGTATCCACACTTTTTTCACATAACCTCAAAATTTATGTGAAAAATGCGAATAACCGAGTTTTTGGTTTTTGATTTTTATTTTTTGCAAAAAAAAATATTTTTTCACGAAATTTGGTGAAAACTTACCTTTGTATGTCCCAAACATACAGTAATTTTTCACTACACAAATACCACTTGGTCCAGCATAGCGGGATTGCATTCGCCCGCATAGCGAACACCTTAAACCTTGTTTTTTGTAATTATTTTTTAAACATATAAAATGTAACAGCTTTATGCTTAAAAAATAAATCAAGATTTCTAAAACTCACATCAATTACTAGCTTTGCGGCTTAACGGTGATTCTTGTGTTGTAGGATACTATACAAAGGAGATTGCTCAAATTGGCCCAAATGTAAAAAAAATATTGACATATACGGTAATTCTTGGCGTAATTTATACTTAATATTACAGTCATTAGATGTTAACGGAAACCTTTGTATAATATATTCATTTTAAAAAGGACTTTTAATTTTACAGGTTTGGATAACATACGAATCATTTGGCTATGGGTGTAGTAACATCCAGCCAAAGAATGATTGAAGTTGTTTATATAACATCAAAACAAATCTATTTTGTAAAGATCGATAAAATTAAACATTTTTTTTATTACACTGTGGTATTAATATTCACAACTATATTATTATTTTCACTACATGCAAATGTGCTAAGACAATTTTTATAGATGGAAGATCATAGTCTATTGACATACATTTTTCGCCAAATACCTCCTTAAACACATTATATAGCGTGATACACTAAAAATCTAAAATATGGTTATAATATAAACATAACAAAAATAATGAAGCAACTGAAGATATGGTTATATAAGTAGGTAACCTACTAAATCTCCTTATCTTTGGTTAACGACAGTTTCAAAATTCTCTCTTCTCTCTTTAATAAAAGATATTATGCCATGACGGCTAGAAAAAAAAATGTCTATAATCTGTGGCTCATTCACAATCATCGCACAGTTTCTGTCACAGTACCCTATTATAACCGGAAATGCATAGATGATACCTGATTTTAAAAGTTACTCTTGTGCATTAATTTTAAAAACAGGCAACTATCTGTTAATCTACATGCTCTATATACCTAAATCTAATACATAATTTCGGTACTTGGCTTGATTTCCCTAGTTTACTATATAACTTATTTGTTTTTATTATTTTAATACCTATGTACCTATTTGCAAACATAACCTCAAAATCATTGAGTGTATATGGTTTATAGAAGTTCTCAGGGGTGTCCGTCAATAATATTCGTTTCTACAGTAATTTATTTATAATTTCGAATCTATGAAACAATTTTTCATGATTATTGGTATTTAGGCCAAACATGTTTGCAAGCTGAGCAATCTCCTTCGAATGTTAGCTAACGAAGCACGAAAAAGTCCGAGGAAATTTTCCTATACAATTTTTTAATTTATTGTTCTTCCTTTTATTTAAAATGCTGTGTTAACAGGAAAAAATATCCTTATGATTAACTCTTTCCACGGTTATCATAAAATTCACGTGTATTTTCTCATTATTAAAAATAAAACGATGTCCTCATTCAGTAAAACACCCTATCTTCAATATTTAATAGACTTTCTCTGCGTGTGACATGACCGTGGGACGACCTGTGTATAAATGTCGTACGATGATTTGATAAAATACCATATTCTTAGTTGTGACTTGTGACTATTATTAATTTGTATTTTTTGTATTTAGAAACCAAAACCCTTTTTACAAATTATAAAAATGAGTGAAAATTCTTTTCAATATGATTAACAAAAACGGATTAGAACGTGGATGAAAGAAAGGTTACAACCTCAGCAATATGATGAAAGGGTGGAGCATAGAAAACACCATTATTTTTTACAACATTGAGCTGAGGTTTAATGGGGCATGATCCAAATTAGCAATATGTTTTGACTAGTTTTGACTTTTCAATGATGATGGCTTGTGTCTTGCTAGGATTAATTGAGCCGTGGGCACAACTCCAATCGCGTATGACAAAAGAAACGTCATTCAAGACTGCAATTAAATTCCGCACCAGCATACTAGTGGTAATGGTAAGGATAAGAAAAATAATTAAAAGTGGAAAGAGGAGAGGGGTAGCGTCACAAAAATTAGATCGCCTGTCGTCAGTGCAGGCCACAGATTACGTACAGACACACTGCTGCCGGCCAGCAAGATGATGTCGTACCCAGTCCACCAAAAAATCCGAAACAAAGATCGAATTAAGCATTGCCAATAGAATGTTAAATCTAAAAGTACAAGCACAATCACGCGGCGTTGGTCATTCTCGCGGATATAACGCATTTATTCTCCCCGTCATTAAAGTTTAATATTTCGCAAACGGATTCCTAAACGGAAAATAGTCTGAGAAACCCCTAATTTTATAGGTCCTTAAATCAACTATATCCCACATGATGGGGTAGATGATGAAAAAAAATCATCCCCAGGTTACATGTAGGGGAGCTACCCAAAACAATTGTTTTCTAAAATGTTATTATACCATTTTGTCGGAGTGATCTATATATATATATATATATATATATATATATATATACATATATATATAAATACATACATTCATCGGTATATATACAAAAAATTGGTACCACATATAATAACTCTCCTTTCAAGCCAGCGCTTTCTGAAAACTCAAACTTGAATAAAAATAAAACAATTATATTCTCAGACAAGTTAGGTCAGGGGCTAGGACTATTAATTAAAAATTCCAGTGATGAAAACATTATAAATATATGTACTCCTGGAAAATCATTTAATGAAATTGTAAATAACTTGACCCACCATAATGTGGATAGTTATACTAACCTATTGTTTTTGTGTGGTGACAGTTCCAGATTATCAACGGGACATTACAAAAAGTGTTGAGCACTTATTGAAAATACAATCTGAACCTAATTGTAAAGTAATAATTAGCGCTTTCCCATATGCACATAACTTATCTAGGGAACAGAATAAGCGCATCTTTAATTTAAATTTAAGTATTTTTAATTTAATTAATAGTCATAGTGACGTATTTTTATATTTTGATATAAATAAATATATTAGATATTTTAAGTTGACTACAGATACTATGTATCTCGCAAAGAAATTTAGCACCCAGATAGCTAATTTGTTAGCTTTTAAAATACAGAATACGGTTATACATGGTATAACTAACTCTATTTGACAAAATAGTGTTAGTATTTCCAGTAAAAGAAATATTAACTCTATTAATAGCTTAACCAGCCCAGTTTTAAACTGAGCTTAAAGACAACAGCCAAACCTAATAAAAGAGGTATTAATATTATTCATCAAAATATACAAGGTTTGGCTGGCAAAGACCTAGAATTAGAATTGTATTCAAAAAGTGAGGACATAAGGTCAGTCGGGGAAATTGCGCCATATTTTTTGCATAGATGATTTCGATGCAAAATAATTTATTTAAATATTGACTTATGAGTTTTTATATATAACATTAACAATATTTGGTATTTTGTAACTGCAATGACTATTGATGCAGTCAAATCTACCATAAATTTTACGATATTTTGTAATAAATTTAAAAACATGGCCATAGGCGCACTTGCCTCTCAAAACGGGGCAAGTGCGCCTATTTTAAAAAAAGCGCTAAAGTCGTATCCAATAAGATAAATAATAATTTTACTTTATGGAAAATTTACAACTAATCACATTGCTTTATTTTTATTATCTAATCTATAGAGCAACCACAGCATTCTTAGTAAATGTGCGCCATAGATTAGTAATCAGGGGATCTAAACCTATAATGTTACTTTTTACATTATAAATATATTAAAACTGTTTGGCAGGTTACATATATTATGAACAATTAAGTCAATCTTTTATTATTATTATTTTTTAATTTACTTAAGTAATACAAATATAAGTAAAAAAATTCTTTGGCTAGATAGAACGTAAACATTTATTTAGTGAATGGCATGTAGGAACCACACCGCCATATGATAGTCGAAACCATGGGACGATTCCTGAGGTATCTCTACTTGTAACCGACTTCTTCGGACTTGATTTTGTTTTGTGTCTGTTCAAAGACAATCGTTTTTAGAATGTAAACTCCGGTCGTGCGTCGGAGCTGACACACACAATTTTTTTTTCTATTTTTGTTACATAGTATTAATGTGTGGTTATGAGAATTCATGCTCTCTTAAAAATCTCTTCGGTGGTGTGTTGCGAGGCGGGTCGTTCCGTTCCCTAAAAAATGGTTGAACGAAGCGATGGCTGGTTCATGCGTCATGCTCGTGAACGGGTGCTGCCAGCGGAGATGAGTTTGCTCTTGCTTCATTGGGTACTATTAATCGTTGTACTAAACTTATAATCGTTAATTATTATTTTTTTTTTGCCTAAACTGTAGGACACGGCATTACTAAACTTTGTTAAACCAGTTTTTTATATAGTTATAATTTTTATATAATTTGCATTGTAATGGAAAGTGACTTTATGAGTTACCTGATATTGAAGTCATTTTTCAATTTGACGACTCTGTATATAATACAGGGAGAAAAAAACAGCCCTTGCTGAGTTTCTTGCCGGTTCTTCTCAGTACAAGATCTCCCACCGTAGATTTGCGAAACGATGGCGTAGCTTTTCGACATTAACAAGTGCTTGTAACAGCCTAGACTAAATAAACGATATTGAATTTTGAATTGAATTTTATATGTTCGCGAAAATTCGATTTATCAAATCATCCTATGACAGAAATTAAATTCCTTTATTACCTACTTCACCACAGCACCTTCCTCTATTTCTGCCAAGTCCTAGTGTCAGTCAATTTACATTTACTTTTTCCGCTGCTTTTGATCATAAGTCGCATCGCATAAGTCTGCCTTTTTTAGGGTTCCGTAGTTCTAACAAGGAATCCCTATAGTTTCGTCAACTCCGTCCTCGGTTTTGCTTGGAGACTATTAGCACTAGAGAGCTGTAATTTTGTAGATATATATATCGATCACGCCGACAAAATGGTCTATATAGTATATTTGTATGTGCTTGCTAGGGGTACAGTTGATCAGGTTACAACTGAATGTCAAAAATCTGTAAATAAACATTAAGTCGAGCGAGCGAGACAGAACAGTAACCCTAGCATGAACCATTATCGAATTCGAAAAGTTCGCGATTGTGAAATGTCATTGTCAAATTTTGTATGGAAACTTGAACAGCAGTGCCACAAAGTACGTAACGAGAACTAAAAATCAGCACACAATCTGACAATGACAAATCGGACTCGCAAACGTTACGAATTCGATATTGGTTCCTGCTAAGGGTACTGTTCTGTCTTGCTTGCTTGACTGAATATTTACTTACAGATGTGTGTGTGTGAGAGTTGCTTATGTAGTTGAGTCAGAACATATTTTTATTTAATGCTTTAACGCATCGTACGTACATAGCATCCCGTATCATCCCTTTTTGTTTTAATCTAAGATGAATAAGGATCAGAAGAGAAACTCGTAAAATGCCTATTGTCTTTTAATACTCATTATTGATACATCACTTTTGATCTTCAGCTTCTAAGCTACCTATAGCCATTCTTAGTGCACCTTCTCTAGTGGTGTTTCCACCTATAAAGCCAGTGCTGTGGCAGAAGATGCAACCTTCTATATTTGCCACTCCACTTAATAACTCATCTCTAACGCCCCACCACTTAGGGTGCAGAGGTTTCCTGAAATAATAAGGGGGAAAATTTATTTAACTAGAACAGGCTTTGAGAATTAGTAATAAATATATAGATAAAGCAGAATTATGGGAGTATCAATAAAATAATATAAAAGTTAATGATATTTTATAAACAAGCTGCCAACAAGGGTGTTGATGCAGCAAATGTAACATTAAAATCCTGTCACAATAGTAATTACTTTTTCAACAGTTCTTACTACAAAAACATAAAATAACTAATACCTATAGTAAATAATGGCCAATGAGTAAGTAAATATAGGTGTGACATTGTGTTTTAGTAACAATAACTGTGTCAAAAAAAAACTACTGATATGCTATTGATACATGATCATTACTTTTACTTAGCAGATTAAACACCCAGATATGTTTGCACATGTATGAGTGTTAAGGGTGAAGACTTGAAATATGTATCTTGGAAAAAAAAATGAGGGAAAATCAATTGTTCAAACAATGCTCAACAGGGTAATATGCATTATCTTTCACATGGTTGATTTGTAGAATTGTAAAGCACCACACCACTAATACATATATGTTAGTTTTAGAGAATCACATAGTATAATACCTGGTTACAAAGCTTGTAGGGTTTACTGGAACAGCCTGTACTCTCCAAGATTTAGGTTTGTCATTGAATAAAACATATTTTATCTCACCACCAATACCTATTTCAGTTTCCAAGTCAAAAAGATGCTCTTTCCATGGAAATCTCTCTGTAAACTCTAAAATTTTTCCAGATGCATGAACTTGAAACCTATTTTCCAAAGATGATTTAACATAATCACGCGCAGGCAACCATACTGATATAAAATAATTCACTGTGTGTAAAAACTCATCACTTACTAATTTCATAGCTTTCCCAAAGCTCTCATCTAAATTGATATTCTGGCTGGAGTTCCACTCTGGATTGAGTCTGCCAACTCTTGCACTAATGTGTGTGCGTATCTTATATTTAGGTTCTTCACCTGCTATTGGTACACCATTGTCAATAGCATCGATTTCTTCTATTAAGTTTTCATACACCTTTTTATAAATAATTTTCAGATCCGCAGCAGTTAATGGGACTTCCTTTGGAGCAAGTTGTTGCAAAACTTGTTCTCCATAATATGTGTATATTAAACCAGCTGAACTTAATCTGGAAACAGAAAAAAATCTAGTATTACAGTTACACTCCTGACAAATAAATTAGACCAAAATAATTTTCAGTATTGCTGTTTTATTTAACTGTAACATTTTATCTTGTATAATGAATGAATTTATGTGTAACAAATCTTAATAATGGTCAATAATTATAATAAAAGGTTATAATTTCACAGAATTTTATGCATTCTTTGCAATTAATTATCTATGTATAGATATATAGGTTTATTTTAAATCACCTTATGTATTAAGACCATGAAAAATAATAAAATAATCACAATTTACAGGTGATTTGGTTCGTTAAAATGTGATGTTCTGTTAACCTCATGTTGGAAGCATGGTGTTTACAGAAAAGAAGTGTCAACAATGTAAAACTTACTTTATTTTATATTTATTGCCTAACTCTGGCCTTAGTGAACTTAACGAATCAGTAAACTCCCTCTGATGATGATCATATCTTTTTTTATCATGATTAAATTCAGCTCCTACATCCACCACTATGTCACATTCTTCGAGTTTACTGGTGTCTCGTGTACGCACAATTTCTGCATTTTTATACTCTGGCAGTAGTTTCAGCATGAAGCAAGCTAGGGCATCATCACAATGAAAAACACCGTCATGAGTGCCGATCTTAAAAGAATAAGATTAATACACATGAAATTTATGTTTACAGTAGGTAACTACTAAAAGTGTGCACTTTTGACTTACTTTCATATTGTTAAACTTGTTGGTTGCAGCTATATTAATAGAACTAAAATAACGGTTTTGTACCAACAATTTACTTTTACTAAATAAATTATTTATTTTGTAAATGGATTTCAAAAACATTACAAACAGGTACAAGCATGGTACAAGGTTTCCGTTTGATTTCCTTCCTAGTGTCAATGTTTTTTTTTAAGATTCTCCCGTTTTATGGAAGGAAAAGGGAACAATGCCCATATAGCCTAGTCTTTAGTTATATTAATCTTCTTTTTCTCTTTACATTAGAACGTCGGTGTGACACATTCTAATGTTTCTTGGAGTGTTTGGAGTGTGTATCGAGTTGGCTTTTTCGATAAGCTTCTGTGAGGTAGTCAACACTACAATAAAGTTCTCACGTCCACTTGACCGGAATAGAGTATATTCGATTAAGATTCCACTAATTCTTCAGTTACGCAGACTGTTGTAACACAAAATCACACCAATTTTATTTCGAATGAACGAATTTAAGAATAATTAAAAAAAAATGGATGCGTGTAACTTATGTACGCGCGTGAGAAGTTATACTTCTTTAGCATCATTAAAAATGTTTTTTAATTGCATGCAAATAATTAATAATAACAATAAAATAATAAAAGGACTAGAAAAGGATAGTTAACACAGTCAATTAAGTTCAGTTTTAATTTGAAAAATTAAATTAATATTCAAAATATTCAATTAAAATCACTACTGAATTTAAGTTATTAGTCCATATGTAATAAGCACTTGTAAGTAACTAAAACACGTTGTGTCTATATAGAAACTAGAAACATGTGGATATTATAAATATGAAAACAGTGATCAGAGGCGACGAGCGTGCCAACATTGTTTTTGACAACGCGATCATCTTATGGAGTTCCGTGGATCGTTCAAAGTACCTTTCGAACAGATGTCTAATAATGGTGGATTATTAACCACTAAGTGGTTAGTAAAATTAATTGTAACTATACATTTATATTCTAGATGATGTAATGGAAAGTGACTATAGAAGTATTTCTGAAGTAATTTTTCAACTTGACGACACTGTATATAACAATACAGGGAGAAAAAAACAGCCCTTGCTGAGTTTCTTGCCGGTTCTTCTCAGTACAAGGTCTCCCGCCGTAGTTTTGCGAACCGATGGCGTAGCTTCTTGACCTTCACAAGTGCTTGTAACAGCCTAGACTGAATAAATGTCATTTCATTTCATTCCATTTCATTCCATTTCATTCCATTTCATTCCATTTCATTCCATTTCATTCCATTTCATTCCATTTCATTCCATTTCATTCCATTTCATTCCATTTCATTCCATTTCATTCCATTTCATTCCATTTCATTCCATTTCATTCCATTTCATTCCATTTCATTCCATTTCATTCCATTTCATTCCATTTCATTCCATTTCATTCCATTTCATTCCATTTCATTTCATTTCATATCAATGTCCCGTTCAAATCTGCCCTGTTTGCTTTGTTCAAATCTGCCCCACGGTCACTTGGAAAATAAAATATTACAAATAACGCGCCCGCGGCTAACTTCATTATGTTACTATTTTGTGTTACAGTGATGCGCGCGCATCTTAAAATTTCACTCTCATAATTTTTTCATAACGCGGCTAAAGAAGTATAACTTCAATAAGACCCTAACCGCACTCGATGAAATCCCGCCAAAAACTCCGTATGTTTTTTTTAGAAAAGGGAGAACCCTTTTCAGGGAAATCATCAATAACCATACAGGCTAGTCTTCATTTTTTTTAACATTACAATGATGTGCATCATGCTAGCATACACCACATCGAGTTCCAAGTTGTTATTGAACTCACGTTCTGTCTCACTCGCTTGATTGAATGTGTATATACAAACGTGTGCGTGTGTGAGAGTTGCTCATTTAGTTGAGTCGGATTATATTTTATTTGATGCTAGGATGAGGGTACCGTATCTTCCCTTTTTTGTTTTAATCTAAGCTTTTGACATATGATATATGTATAAATAGCACTTGAAATTCTACCTCTAGTAATATAAAATACTATTTAGATTCGCAGCGGAATAATAAAAAAAACTGGTGTCAACTTCTAGGAATAAATGTATTTAAATAGAATAAAGAATAATAATAATAATACAATACAATCTCAGCTAATAATTCATTGCTATTGCTCGACCATTTCTGCAATTCAAAACCTGCCTTCATTAATAAGCTGTTCATCTCTTTGTACATCTGTATGCCCTCCTGAATTGTCTGATAGCCTGTCATAAGATCATCCATGTAAAAGTCATTCAGTACTCTTTCAGCGGCCATCGGATAAGCCTGCCACTCATCGTGTGCAAGTTGCTGCATGGCTCGCACTGCTAAAAATGGCGTAGATGCTGTCCCAAATGTGACAGTAAGTAATTTGTATTCCTCAACTTGAGATTCCTTACTGTCTCTCCATAATCTTCGCTGAAAGTTGGTGTGTTTTTCAGTTAGCAACACCTGCCTATACATTTTAATTATGTCAGCTATAAGACAAATAGGATGAGCTCTCCACTTCATAATTAAATGTCTCAACTCCGGTTGCAAACTAGCTCCAATCATAAGGTCACCATTAAGAGAAATTCCATTTTTTCCTTTACACGAGGCATCGAAAACAACGCGCACCTTAGTTGTGTCTTTATCGTTTCGAACGACAGCGTGATGTGGTAAGTACACTACATTTGCTTTATTTGTATCTAATTTTTCTTCTCTTGTAACGGTTTCATATGACCCAATGTTAAATATTCATTGGTGTCGATTCTAGCATGATTCTCTAAACCTAAACTTAAATTTGACAACAGTATATCCTTGTCATTCTCTATACAGAATGAAAAGGAGAGACTGATGTTAAATTTAGTGTTAAGTTTAGAGAATCACGCCAGAATTGCCACCATTGATAACCTGTGTATAACTCTGTTTCAGATCAGTATTTCGACTTAATTTTGACTCTAGATACTGAAATCTTTTAAGTGCAATAGCTCTAGAGTCGCCATATGGACTATTCGAATTTACAGTTTTAAAAGGTAAGTGAACAATAAAACGACCGTTTTCATTCCTTTTCGTAGTGCTACTAAATAATTCTTCACATTTCTTTTCTTCTTCTGTAAGTATGTGTTTTCCTATATCACTTGGTTCCTGCTCCATTTCCCAAAATTTTCTTAGTAGATCGTCTTCCTTAAATTGAGTATGCAAAACTGTAAGATTAGTTCCTTTATCTTTAATCATTGGAAACGCAGGATCAGCTAACTGTAAATTATTCACCGTTACCCACTCAAAACATGCTACTTTCTTTACAGGTAACAGCGAGGTGATTGACTTTAGAACATACGCCTTTACAATCACATTTTTTGATGAATCAATTCTATACTGGATATTTACTTCAACTAATGCCTTTGAAATTAGACTTTTTTCTCCTCCTATTCCAGATATTGTACCCCGGATAGATTTTTTCTTCGTACCCAGCCTTTGGACAGTATCCTCGGTTACAAAAGATGCTTGTGAGCCTTGATCTAGCAAGGCTCTCACGTGTACATAGAACCGTTTATCGAAACAGCTTTGACAAGAGCCGTGGCTAATAATACGTGATTATTAGCAGATCCTTTCGACATACAGGACACCACGTTTGCTTCTTCCTCTAAACCAGCCGTATGTGCGCGTGACGTTGAGGGTTGAGGCTCGCTGGTATTCGTTAAACCAGGTGAATGGTTTACATTATAACCAGCCTCTTGCTCCCCCTGAGCATGTAACAGCGAGTGGTGTCGGCGCTTGCAAATTCGGCAAGATGTTGTACGCTTGCATTGCCTAGCAGAGTGACCGTGACCCATGCAATTAAAACATAAATTATTTTCTTGAACAAATTTCCTACGAGTAATCGCATTACTTTGACAAAATTGTTTACAATAACCAATATAATGATCTTCATTACAATAAGCGCAACCAGAAGAAGCAGTTACAAATACTTTAGTACAGGCTTAGTTACAGTTGTTGAAAAACCCTTATTGGATTTGGTTTCTAAAAATTCAAATGCTCTGTATCTACTAGTAAGATATTCCTTAAATTGATCAAATGTTGGTAACGTATCAGACTCATTATTACTAGTGACTTTCAACTCCCACTCTCTCCTACTATCTGAATCTAATTTTAAAGTAAGCAAGTGAATGACAAGTATATCCCACGAAGTAGTGTTTATCCCCAAGTTATTGAGTGCTCCTAAGCACTCAGTTGTAGTATCGGTCAGTTCTTTCAGAGCTCCTGCCGATTCCCCAATAATATTACGTTGACTCAACAACCTTCGCAAAATAGATTGAGACAAATATTTTTTGTTGTTATAACGTAATTCCAACTGAGACCAACACCTATCGTAATTAGCTTCTGATATCGGTACATGGCGCAAAAGCTGCTCCGCTTCACCAGTAAGGTAACACTTTAAATAATGTAGCTTTTGTACCTTGTCTAAACTGGTATTTTTATGAATGGCTGATACAAATAAGTCTCTAAACGTTGGCCATTCGGTATATTTACCCGAGAAATTAGGAATAGTAATCCTAGGCAATTTAATATTATTATTTTGCATTTCACCTTCAACATTGGTAGAAGCAATTGATTGAGCTACCTCTCTGCTTTTAAACATACTACAAGCATTTTTTATATCGACTTTCAAATCTAAATACAACTCTTCCATGTTATCATAAGTATCATTTTTATAATAAGAAGTTTCGTCAACCTCTTGCTTGTCATAATTTTGTATAATATTTGTATGATTACTAGTGAACTGAGTCCACAACTGCTCTACATTTTCCAATCTAGACTTTAGATAACATTTAGTAATCCTATCTTTAGGTGACTTCTTATAGTTACTCTGTGCTTTTACAAGTCTAAGGTCTTCTTGAACTTTAATCAATGACAGCAACATCTTAATAGTTTTAACAAAAAACTACTGTTAAAGAAAAATTTCAAAAATGTTCTAAGTCTTTGACATGTACAATCGGTCGCACCAAAATCGGGCATAGGTTCCCCGTATGAACCAAATTTCACTTATTATTCTAAGTCTAACTAAAACTCTACTCAAATTTCGCTAAGTCCAGAATTCTTAAAATTATTCTAAGTTTACAATCTCTAGTACATAAGGTTCAATATTACCAGATCTTTCACAACTTAACTAAAATACTAAAGTTAAACAGTCAATAGTTCTAAGGTTCACTTTTGCTTGTAAAAATCTTCAAGTACTCACTGTTGGCAAAAGGTGTCACACATATATGATGGCGCTGATATTTTTATGTGTTATCGATTGTACTCCCTTCCTTCCACTATTCTGTCCTCAGTAGCTGGTCATCCAAAATTCCAACTCCTTGGATGCCCTTCTTCATCAGGTAGGGACAGAACAGGGATGATCCTTTCAAAAACCAAAAGCTGAAAACACCTGAAATATTATTGTGCACAAATCGTTCCGGCTCGAAGGACCATGTACAACCCTGTACTAATTGAGGGTTGGTTTCTGGGGGTTGATTGACAGAGGGTTTCTTAAATAAAAAAAAACTGGTACCCTGTTTCCACATTCGCTGTGGCCCAATTTATTCGCAATTTTGAACCTTATTTATCTATTATAAGTATATACATAAAATATTTTCGACAGCGCGATTTAGAATATATACCCGAACATTTGACACATTTTATTAGCACCATCTTTCGTAACCAAATGGTACTAAATACTATCAAAACCAAAATAAACATTGTTTAAGGTTGAACAAAGATATTGTTTACAAGTTCAAATTGACACATGCATGGTAGATGGAGACGAGGAGCTACAACATAAATTACTTACTCAGTGGCACAACGAATGACAAATTGATAGTTTTCCATTAACTTGTTAACATTACCTTGCTAATAAGCGCTAAGTTGTAATTTGATTGAAAACGTAGTCCACTTTCGAGAACTTTTTTTTTCCGACACACACCAATTAGCCTAGCCCCAAAGTAAGCACTGGTGTCGATTCTGGCATGATTCTCTAAACTTTAAACTAAAATTAACATCAGTCTCTCCTTTTCATTCTGTATAGAGCAGGACAACGATACACTGTTGTTAAATTTAAGTTTAGATTTAGAGAATCGTGTCCGAATCGACACCACTATAAGGCTTGTGTTATGGGATGCTAAGGTAACGGATAGAATACATATACTGTACATATATAAGCATATTTATATACATACATAATAAACATCCATGGCTGGAGTAAAAATGCTCGTGTTAATCACACAAACATCTGCCCCCACCGGGATTCGAACCCGGGACCTCTCGAGTCGGCGACAGCCATGAAACCCGGCGTACAAACCATTCGGCTACGGAGGTCGTCAATCTTCGTTTTTGTTTACCAATCTCGAAATCAAAGCCTTGTAGCTCAAATGTAATATACACACTGACCTTAATGTGCTAAAGCAAGGAATTAGAAATGATTTAAGTTTTTGTTGATTTTTAACCTCAAAATTAAAATAATAATAACACAAAGTTAGTATTTGCTTTGGTGGGAAGTGGAGTTGTTTGGGATTCCTCACTCCCTTTCCGATTCTCTTTACTTTATAGCAGTTTCAAAGTTTTTATAAAATAAATACGTAATAAATCATAACACATGCTTATAAAAAAAGCACAACGCTTAAACGTTGAATAAATTTAAGCTGTTTGTCTCACCGTTACCAAACAGGATGTGTCTTGTCTTTGTTTTGAGTTCTGCACGGCGGACTATAGAGATATTTATGCGGCGCGACGGACTGCAATGCAGGGCTAGATCGTGCATAATAGGCTTGTTGAAAATATATCGATATATCGATATTTTTTGTTCGATATATCGATATTTTTTGCCGATATATTTTGATTCGATATATCAATACATCGATACAAAATAACCAATATCGAAATTCGTATCAAAAACGATATTTTTTTAATTATTAGCGGCATAGCACGATCTAACTAAATTCGTATCTAGAAAAATCGTAACTGGATCTCAGATTAATGATATACAACATATCTATGATCTGTGCTGTATTTAGTATTTCCTATGTCATCATTCGGAAATAGGGTCTATTTTTAGGGAGATAATTTTCGTTCCATTATTATTCCGCGTGTCATATTTCGTGTACGATATTTTTGGGAAAATTGGTCCGATATATCGATATATCGATGTTTTTTTCGCGATATATCGAAGCCGACATTGATATTTTTTAAAAGATCGATGTATCGATATATCGATATTTTTTTCAACTTTCGACATCCCTAGTGCATAAGTCCCGTATAAGGGTGCGGCCAGAGTGCACTCAGATTCAGACTCAGATTCAGATTTCGAAAACAAGCGCGAGAAATAAACAGTGTAGTCTAAGCAGGTTGCCTGCTTTTTCTCGCGCTTTGTTTTCTGAGTCTGAATCTGAATCTGAATCAGGAGTGCAATCTGGCCGTACCCTTCGACTACACTGTTTATTTCTCGCGCTTGTTTTCGAAATCTGAATCTGAATCTGAATCTGAGTGCACTCTGGCCGCACCCTAAGATCTTAAGATGTTTTTGTCTATGGTTTTAATATTGGCAACACTGCTTAAATGTCAGAATTCCGTGGAATTAAAAAAAAACAGACTACAATATTCTTTGCCTTCCTAATAGAAAAATTATAATGTTTAACGCATACTCTATGGCATAATCATTCACTCATTCTCCACAGTTTCCCTTTTCCGGTTCTGCATCAAAGCTGTAACCATGCCGGTTTGTAATTTTATTTATTTTTGATAAATTTTGGCAAAATTCAAAACAAATTTTTGTGAACAGCAAGTTTAGTGATAATTGTTTGTGCTTGTGTAAAACCTTATACAATTATTTCAAGCCGTAACTACGCATCGAACCGAACATTACTACGATACACATGGCAGTTTTGGATATGTCAAAAATATTGCTCTACTTGTGCATCAACTAGTTCCATTTGTGATTTTCATTTATTTCCGAATATGTATCTCTTCTTATTCTTAGAACTGACTTTGTACGTGGTGTATGGCATAACGTTACAATCTTTATGAAATCTAACCTAAACTTTGTTTCCAGCTCGCAATTGATTTGCTTCATCCTTCCCCCGCTTCGGAAAGGAGGAAACACAAACTTAAGAGGCTGGTGCCCCATCCAAACTCGTATTTTATGGATGTCAAATGCCCCGGCTGCTACAAAATCACAACGGTATTTAGCCATGCACAAAGGGTGGTTGTATGCGCAGGATGTTCAACGATTCTTTGCCAACCTACTGGTGGTCGGGCTAGATTAACCGAAGGTGAGACGAGAAATTATTACTTTTTATCATAAATATTTTTGGTTTGTAAAGCGAAACATGTATTTGCTGACTTATGAATGAACTGCATTTGAAAAACTCCAATGCAATACATAAATAAGCTTTTGTTCCAATGATAAACTAAAATATTGTACTGTATTGTTCTATATTTCAGTTGTTTCATTAAAATTGTACAATTATGACATTTTTAATATTAGAAATTGGAGGAAAATAACAGTAGTTCAGGGGTCATCAAGAAAGTTTACATCCAGAAGCCAAGTGTATAATGCTCCATCAACCAGAATTAATTATTATTTTTCACTTAAATACTTATAAGAACTGCTATTGAAAATCTTATAAAGAATAAACAAAATACTACCAAAATTTCTTGTTACAATGATATACCAAAATATTGTGTAAGTGTATTGCACAATATTTTGATGAAGGTTCAAGAAGTTTCATAACAATTGTGCATTAAGATTACATGTTTAATGGTTTCAAGATGATTATGAAAGAGTTTACTTTCTGAAATCCAAATATAATGCGATAGCAACCAAAATTTAAATTTAATTAAGGGTATAATTTTCACCAGATTTGAAAATCTTAGCAGTGTCATTCTGAAAATAAAAATTTACCAAAAAATATTGAGTTATTGTTAGAAAATTATACCTTTTATTTTTTTAAATACCTGCATAATTGTTCCTTTTCAGTTGACTTGTCATGTTATTTTGATATCTTTGACTGACACAATTGTTTTTTTTTTTAATTTCAGGATGTTCGTTTAGACGAAAACAACATTAATTTCCTGGAGAGAGAACCCTATGTATATTTTAAGATTTGCATTTTGTTTCTGACTGTATGAAGGAGTGATCTTTTATAAATTCACTAATGAATCCAATGAAGCATTATTAAATAAAGGCTATTTCAAAGGGATGACTTCTTTTATTAGCAATAAACTTTCTTAGAAACCTGAAATACATCCCGGTAACGTTCTTGAGCAATGACCAAAGACAATGAAGCCTGCGCAGTAGCAATTATGTGATTTTGCTCAAGAAGTTTGCCTCAAACTTTACCAACAGCTTAACTACCAAGTTAACTAACTCTATTTGCTTATTAATATTGAATCAAATAAGACAAAATGGTGACTTAGTAAGCAATCAACAAGACTTTATTTACTTTGTTATTTAACGAATCCCCTCTCAGTTGTCTGTATGTTCACAATGATGTCAAAAATGCTCATGGATTTTCATGTGGTTTTTGCAGTTTGTTGGATATCTATTCATGCTAGGTTTAATATATGTGTACATATTTGTTTATATCCATACTAATAATATACATGCAAAAGTGTGTTTTCTCTTCATACTTAAACTGCTAAACCAATTTAGATGAAATTTGGTTAGAGATAGATTTTATCTCAGGAATCACCCTTTAAAGAGAAGAAAAGGGGGATAATAAAATAAAAGTTTTTAACAAATTCCAGTGAAAATTGAGCATTTGTATTTTAAAACCCCTATAGTACATGCTATGTCTTCCGTAGTCCTAATGCTTAATTATGATTTTTTTTTATCATAGTTCCAATTACAACTATGTATACCCTTATGTTTTCATGTGTTAGGGATTTCCTAAACCATTTTAGCTTTTACTGGTCACTATATTAAATTGTATGAATATACAGACTGGCCGATCAATTGAGCATCTCAACATGTCTAGGATGGTCGCCCTATAACCTCGGTTAGAGCTTTCCTCAGCTGGTTATTTGTAGTTTGTAATAGTCCCAATATAACCCTGCTGGGCAGCTACCTGACATAAAAATGGAACCAAACTAAAGGCCTTCCACTCACTTTACTTGCTTGCCTGACCACACATTTCTGTACGGCGAAAATCTAATGAATTATCTAGGTAATTCCAAACTCAACTGAATTAAGACCACTACAGGTGTGAAGCTTGATTTACCTACCCATAACTTCACACACTTCATTTATGCATAATATGAACATGCTTCCCTCCCCTGTCCTGCCTTAAAGCGGGGAGGCAGGCTACGAAATAGGGACGGCGGTATTTACAGGCAGGGCATAATATGTAGGATATTATGCCCTGCCTGTAATTATCGCTGCCTTATTTTAAATACAATTCTAGCTACTGCCCTGTCGAGACTTACTAGGTACTAACCTCACATAGTACTATGTTATGGGAATTTATTTGTGACCCTTATCTCGACTTAGGAGCTCGATTGCGCAGGTGGTAAGCGCGTTCGATCTCTGATCGCGAGTTTTCGCAATGGCCGGTCATTAGATTTGTGACCAAAAACTTCAATCTCGAGCTCCTCTCGTGGTTCGAAAGGCACGTTAAGCCGTTATATCTGCAGTCGTTAGCACACAAATCCGCACTAGGGCTGTGTGGTAGGTAATGGCCCATTTTCCCTATGCTATCCATAGGGAAGGCCTGTGTGCCCCAGCAGGAGACACATTAATATTCTGATGATGACTATATTAGAAGCACATTAAGTAGGTACAATCCTACCATCGAATACCCAGCCTCTTGTAGGGCACAGAGAATTTACTCCAGCTAGAGAAAAAAATCAAAGCACTAAATACTACAGTCAATCTGATCGCGCTGAAACTCAGAGGAAAAAGAAACACTTCTTTTCTTCGTAAAATTTGTCACCTTATTCCAAAACATAGACTTAAGCTAGTCTTATATGTAATGCTGTCTCTGTCTTTTATTATCAAACAAAAATGACAGCATCAGTTTTAGTTCAGGTGTAACATTGGTGTAACTTTAGTTGATGTTTTGTAATAAGGCGGTTAGAGTTTATTGTTCTAAAAAAATAACTAAACTATTTAATAATTATAAATATCATACATATAGGGTGATAAAGTCTTATTACACATAACATTTACATTAGAACATTTCCTAATTGGATAATAATTTGCTTCATCATAAAATCTGTTTCTCAGATTATTTGAAGAAATAAAAACAGTACTCAATTCATAATTGGTACCTACGCAAGTTAATAAAATGGAAAACATTTTTGGTAGGTAGATAGAGATAGATTGAAATTTTTTATCACTAAATCATTTTCATCTTTACTGATAGTACAAAATAATTTCGTGTCATTAAACTTTAATGAAATTTAAAAACCACCACCTAACACTAATGAAATCTCTTTTCCATATAGTTCCATTTGTATCAATAATATTGCCAATAATAAGTAAATTGTAAAATTTACTTCATATAGTTCTATTCTAGTAGGAATATAATAGTAGGATGATTAACTTATAAAATTTATTATAGACGAATTCCCAATATTCCCATTGGAATGTGTTTATTTAAATATCTTTGGAAAACATATGTAACATATGTTCACTATAATTTGTTAAAAAAGGTATGTGTTACTAGTTTTTTGGCATCCTCTTGTTCTAGTTTTTGGTCTGCTTGGTGTATGTCCATTTTAATAGCCTGTATTAGATCTTCTAATGAATCAAAATTTTTCTCTCCTCTTAAGTAGCCAACTATAGCTATTTTCAAATTAGAATCATAAAAATCCTTTTCAAATTTGTGCATGATGTGGGTTTCCTGCAATTCATACAAGTTAATGTTATAAATAAATAAATAAATATTTCCAACACTCACACCAATTACCCTAGCCCCAAAGTAAGCACTGTAAGGCTTGTGTTATGGGATACTAGGGTAACGGATAGAATACATATACTGTACATATATAAGTATATTTATATAGAAATACGTATTATACATCCATGACTAGAGTACAAATGCTCGTATTCATCACACGATCATCTGCCCCCACCGGGATTCGAACCCGGGACCTCTCGAGTCGGCGACACCATGAAACCCGGCGTACAAACCACTCAGCTACGGAGGTCGTCAATGTTGCTTTAATCTGTTGGGTTCCGTATACATGCATAATTGATGTGATTTAACTGCTCTGTTTATTTGAATTTGTATAATTCTTAGATTAAGTGATAACTGCAAATTGGTGATACAACTACATCGTAATGGTAGCAATTACCTAAACATGGCCTTTTTTACCTTAGTATTGATGAAATAAATACAAATAGCTAATTTTTGGTTACTTCAGATCTCATTTATCTTATTCCTACATTTTTAATTGCATCACAATTTATGTAATGTAGACACAACAAAGGAATATATCACAGGTGATTTAGAGCAAAAAAAGGGAAATCAAATATACTTGCAAAAGCTTTTTTATGCATATTACAGAATAGCATGTACACATTAAAGTATTTATCACACTTGTACAAATCTACCTTTTCTCACTGAATTGCAATTGAACTCATGGTGGAATACCATAAATAACAAAACAGCAACTAACCACAGACATTTCTTTATTTTTGTAGAAGGGACACCACCCAATGTTAGCCACCATTTTATGAATAGGTCCTACGTCTACTTGAGCCCAACCATAATAGACTCCAGACTCCAAACCATCAGGCAGCGACTGGACAACACTCAAAGGATAATTTGCTATAAAAAAATATGTAATATTTTTATTATGACACTCATTAATATTTGCTCACTTGATTAATTTTGGTTTGCAGTGCATTTCATTTATCTGTTTGTTGAGTAAACAATAAATCTAGGTTATCTTTACAGTCATTGTTTTTAATTATGTACTGACATACTTAATTAGAAACAATGAACACATAGATGTAATTTAAGGATAATAAGTAACTTGTTCTAGTTCAGCTATAAAAATTTAAGGTATTAATAATTGTTGCACCAAATATTGCATAATAATATATCTAACCTGTAGGGCAGCCTAATTGTTTGGATCCTCTTCCAAATCCTTTAACAACTTGACCTTCCAAAAACAGAGGTAGAATTTTCGATGTCATAGTGATAATTTTATCAATATTTATTCAATACCTATGGGAAAGCGATAATAACCGTAACTACAACAATAAATAAAAGAGAAAAATATAAAATACAACTAAAGTTGCAATGGTTTAAAAATTATTTTACTTGTTTTGAGCCATCCTTACCCGTGATTATTCTTGATTAATATTACTTATTGTCTTATAACACAAAAAAAAAGTACCTACGTTACGTAATTAAGTACGTGGGGACTTAATTGCAATTCTATCTGCCCAAACAAAAAATAAATAAAATTAAGCTAATAAATCTAAAACATCTGTGCTTAGTAAAACGTCAAATGACAGATACAATGATATTCAATTCATTAAATATCGAGATATCGAATTTATTCGATATTTACCATACGATAAACCGAGTGAATCGTCGTTTTGACAAAGATCTTTTTTATTTAATACTAGCAAACCCGGCGAACTCCGTTTCGCCACCAGATGGCTTCGTTTTATGTAACATTTTTTTGGTGATTAAAAGAAGTTTTTTTTTTAATTTTTCCTGAATTTTCTTTGCTATAAACCTCACGGAGCCCGAGACCTTTCTAACGAATGCAATACCGTGGAAATCGGTTCGTGCGTTCTGGAGTTATAGCGTCAGGAAGGAAAACCCGATTTATTTTTATATATATCGTTTTCTGATATTTTATATCGAATACATGTATCGATATTTTTTTTAAGTGTACACCCTTAAATGACAAAGTTAAGTTTCATCCATTGGGACCACAGACTAATAAGAGAACAAGTTGGGACAGGCGAAGCCATACTGCCAGAACCTACAGGTGACCTCACATTCCAAGGTGAAAGTCTTATTTTACTGGACTAATTAGTGGTAGCTTTCCAATTACAGTATTATGCGGCATAATGCTTAACGTTGAGTGTTTCAACTACAGCAACGCTTCGCACCATCAAGCACTCTCAAAAGTAATGCTTTCGTGTGATGCGTGCAATCGTACCAACTCAGAGACAGAATATTAACAAGTGTTTTTGAAGTTATACTTCTTTAGGCACGTTATGAAAAAATGATGAGAGTGAAATTTTTAGATGCGCGCGCATCACTGTAACCCAAAAGTAACAGCATGAAGTTGGCCGCGGGCGCGTTATGAAAAAATCATGTGAGTGAAATTTCGAGATGCGCGCGCATCACTGTAACACAATAGTAACACCATGAAGTTGGCCGCGGGCACGTTATGAATGTTAGTGTCTAATAATGGTGGATTATTAACCATTTAGTGGTTAATAATCCACCATTATTAGACATCTGTTCGAAAGGTACTTAGAACGATCCACGGAGCTCCATAAGATGATCGCGTTGTCAAAAACAATGTTGGCACGCTCGTCGCCTCTGATCATTGTTTTCATATTTATAATATTTATGCACATGTTTCTAGTTTCTATATAGACACAACGTGTTTTAGTTACTTACAAGTGCTAATTACATATGGACTAATAACTTAAATTCAGTAGTGATTTTAATTGAATATTTTGAATATTTATTTAATTTTTCAAATTAAAACTGAACTTAATTGACTGTGTTAACTATCCTTTTCCAGTCCTTTTATTATTTTATTGCAATTATTAATTATTTGCATGTGAAGTATAACTTCTCACGCGCGTATATAAGTTACACGCATCCATTTTTTTTTCTTTAAGTTGGCATTGATCGAAATGTTTTATTTATATGTTATCGTTAGTAAAAATTATTAAAACTTTCGTTTCATTATAGTTTTTTTAAATAATCAAAGTTAATTCAAACTGTGTTAAAAAATTAAATTTATATATGGATGAAGGTACAAACATTGACTTTTTCAACACTGAACTTAGCGCACTCTGCTGGTGTATTTGAAAACTAATTCACGTTCCAATTAAGCATCAGCATAATTCGGCATTGTGCGCCACTGTGTCGCATTATGCTCTGTAATTGGAAAACCACCGGTATTTGCTAGTTGTAAATAAATGGAGTGACTGATCTTAAGTTTACAAGTATCAAATAAAAATTTAGCCATGTGAAGTGCAAGCACAATGTGACTTTATAGTTAGATTCAATGGCTTACCCCCATTTCTCTTGTCTATGGGACGTACTCAGATTTTATTGCGAGCAACATTAATTGTTTTTAGAACATCGTAAATTGTAAATTCTTGTCAAAAAAAGAAGGGATCGCCTTATAATTGAAATTGTGGTGTTTTTTCAGTGTTGTGAATAGTTGTTTGAAGGTTTATGGATTTTTAACCTCTTTAAAATAACTATAATATCTACATTTTATGATGAGGTAAATAGTGAGAAAATTAACTCAATGATTGTCAATTACCAACAAATACTTTTGTGGCGCTTGCCACTATTATGGACAACATGACTGTAAAGGAATAAGTAACAACATGACCGAAAAGGGCTACGAGGGCGACCAGTCATCATCATCGTGGGATATTCCAGGTCCTTCGTCACTCGCTGCAATTCTGGACTCTGTTTATACTTCTTCAGCCTCAGATAATCCTCCAAGAAGTGGTGATTATTGCATTTTGCGTCTATTTAACTTGAAAAGTTTGAGCTTTTAACTACTATTTATACAGAACTTTATGACGAATGGCGATTAAATGGGGCCAAAAATAATTCACAATAACTATAATAAAACTTTTTTATATGATTTTGTTTTCTTGATGTATCAAAGAAACTGACAGACAATAGATCAGTCAACTGGGATGTCTCAAGTTGGGGCACCAGCCAAAGTAATCTTCTCTGAACATATACTGGGTTGTATTGTACATTAAATTAGGTTGCAATGTTAGCACACTGATATACTATTTTTTTTTGCAGACTACATTTAAAATTTACTTTTAACTGATTTATTCTAGTTGCTCTATAACTATTAACAGTATTTGCAAGTTCCTATTATGAATGATATTATCATTATGTAGCTGTGAATCCATAAGTTGCAAATGATCCAAAAAAATTATAAATGATGATTTATTTATTTACAGAGGAAATGGAGTGTGACACACTCTTTGCTGAGAGTGATGATGAAGTTGAAGTGTTACCCTTAACAAGTGAAGCTTTAGATACTGCCAGATGTGAACCAGTCTCAAAACCAGTGTCTTCCAATTATGTGAATTCTACTACACCAACACAACTGTATGACTTAAATATAGCCTCAATAGCACCTCCTATTTCATCACACACCCCTGTTCCTGAAGAATATCAACCACTACCTGATAGTTCTAGCTCTTTAGACTACCTCAGCAGAAACAACTTGCACAGCACCAATATTAATGGGCAGCAATTCCCCGATGTAAATATCAGATACCAACCAAAACCGGTTCCAATGAACCAAAGAGGGTATTACTATCCAAATTATCAGCACTATGGTGCAAGTGTAAGACCTGCTCATGATTTTGTTTTTACTCCGTACCATTCCAATAATGTCATAGTCCTCGGTGATGATAGGAATTATTCACAACAACATTTACCTTTCACATTGCCACCAAATCAGCTCCAAGGTGAAGAAAACAACATATCTCAAAGAAGTTATGATAGTTCACAATCATGTCCAGACAGCCATACTTCGTCAAGACAGTCACAGAGCGATGACAATCAAAGACCTATTGATTTAGAGAGACCTAGCCGTAAACTCAACATATCACCAAGGAGAAGACAGTCAAAAGAAAATGAGCGTTACATGAACTTGATAGAAGTTAGCTCAGAAGAAGAGGACAATGCTTCAGTGCCTAGAAAGAAACAATGTGATAGTGGAGCAGAACATCAAGCATCTACTTCAAGTGCAGAAGTGCCAGTTAGGGACAATCTTGTTTCTGTTGCAAGGACAGAGATGGTTAAAAGAGAGCCACAAAGCAACAATGAAATATTATCACTGAGAAGAAGTGAAAACCCCAATACGAATGCTGCCATTGAGCATTTGTGTAACAGAAGAAGATCCAGCAATCAAAACTCAAATCACAGAAGCGGACAACACAGTTGCACCCAAGAAAATGTACAAGTGAAGCAAGAAAATCATAGTTGTGCTTGTTTCAACAGGACTAGCTGTAGTTGTGGAAATCACAATGCTGCATGTCATCCACATTCACTACAAAATGAGTGTCACAGACATGACCATAACCACTGTAATCATCAAAATGGACCACATCATCATCATCATCACCGCCACCACCATCACCATCACCAATCTTACAGGCAATGCAGTCCACATATTAGTGCAGGTGGGAATAATTCACTTACACAAGTAAAGGAGGAGCCAGGATCTCAAACATCCAGTACAGCTAGTATTAAACAGGAACCTAATCTCCGAAATGCACAATCGGAGGTGACTCCTATGCCTGCAACAGTAAAAGTGGAAGCAAAAGAGGGTGCTGTAGTTAAAGTAGAGCCTGGTGTAACTAGTGAAGCCAGTACTAGTACTCCACAAAATGTTACTGTTAAATCTGAAACAGAAAGTTCAAGGAGATGTTGTGATATCAATGCCGGTGGTGATAGAAGAGTCAAAAGCAGTTCACCACAACCTGGAACAAGTTCAGGACAAACAGCACCATCGGAATCTAGGCTCTCTTACAGCTGCGAACAGGTAATGAGAAGTATTTGAGATACACACAGAAGCCATTTCATAATATTTTATTTAACAGCAAATGTACATTTATCTAAACAGGAAATCACTAATTGATATTTATAATGTTTCAGGAAGCTCAAACTAATGAAAGTTCAGACTCCATTGCTGTTTTGTCAGCACCTGACTTGCAGTTAGACTGGGTGTCTGATTCCAGTTCTGATGACGATGTACAAGTTCTTGGTGATGACAGTGCTGTAAGTATAGCATTTAATTACACATTACAAACGGTCCTTGGAAATAATTGACATAATGACAACTGAATCAAATACTAATAAATTATAAATATTTAATGACCGACCACTGCGAAAGTTGCTTAACTTTAACGATCTCAGTCGAATGCGTTAACCACGTGCGCCATTGAACTCCTTGAAATAAAAATGCATAATGCTATATATGCATTATGCATTTCTAGTATATTTTCCTAAAAATATATTTAAACTGTCATGACTAAGGTACAAGCATTTTTATTTGTCATTCAAAGATTTGCCCCCTTGGATTCAAATCCAGGACCTCTGAGTAAAAGACATTGAAACCCAGTATACAAACCACTCCACACCACAGAGGTTGTCGAAGAGCGTTTTTGTCCATTAGATAAATTTCCAATTCTCTGGATTTCTTTCAATCCTTTGTCTTACATGTAATAGACTATATGTCATCTAATTGGTTCAGCTGTTTTTGCTTGATTGATTAACAAATATAAAAACTCATTTTAGGATTTTTTAATGAGATTTTATTTCGGTTGTGGTGCTTCGAGGCGCGCCGCCCCGCGCCCTAGCGCTGAACCGCCCGCCTCGCCTTACCTACACCACCAATACCATCATTTACAATAGATGGTTGATTATTATTTATTAGAGGAGCTCGATGGCGCAAGTAGTTAGCGCGCTCGGCTGCGATCGTTGAAGTTAAGCAACTTTCACAGTGGTAGGTCATTAGATGGGTGACCAAAAATTTACTATCTCGAGCTTCTCCGTGCTTCGGAAGGCATGTTAAGCTGTTGGTCCCGGCTGTATCTGCAGTCGTTAGCACCCACCAATCCGCACTGGGCCCGCGTGGTGGGTTATGGCCCAATCTCCCTATTCCATCCATAGGGAAGGCCTGTACCCCAGCAGTGGGGACATTAATAGGCTAATGATGATGATGATGATTATACGTGACTATAGCGTGACTTATTTTTTAACTCCGTCGTATAGCGCGTGGTGTCACCCTTCCCCCCGGTCACGCGGCTGACCCGCCCGCCTTGCCATATCGACACCACCTATACCTACTAAAGCGTGATGAAAACTTTATCGCCGTCGTATTTTATTACGGTGGTGGTCCTTCGAGCCGGATACCAAACCAAATGAATCATGATTATCATGATAATCTTTATAACTTCATGTTGGTACATACATGGGTTCTTAAATTTAGAATAAGGATTCACAACATGAGCCCTGCAAAGGCATTGCAAAAATTTTCTTAATTACTAACAAAACATTAATAAATAAATAATAATAATAATAAATATTGCTAACACTCACACCAATTAGCCTAGCCCCAAAATAAGCACTATTAAGGCTTGTGTTATGGGATACTAGGGTAACGGATAGAATACATATACTGTACATATATAAGTATATTTATATAGAATTACATATTAAACATCCATGACTGGAGTACAAATGCTCGTATTCATCACACAAACATCTGCCCCCACCGGGATTCGAACCCGGGACCTCTCGAGTCGGCGACACCATGAAACCCGGCGTACAAACCACTCGGCCACGGAGGTCGTCAAACAATTACAACATTTACAATTACAAACATCGTTTTTTTTGTGAAACATTTTACCTAAAGTATATCTATTATTTTTTTCTATATAATATCTATATCCTTTAGCAGCATGTGTGTAATACAAGTGATAATTATGTTTATATATTATATCATTACTAATTTTATTGTTATCTCGTTTGATCTCCGTCATGTAGCGTGTGGTGATAGATCTGACTAGCTCGCCGTCCCGCGAGGGTTCTGGCGAAGTGGCACAGTCCCCCCCTACCACGGTCCCGGTGCCGGCGCCGGCGCGGTCGCCTGCGCGCCGCCCCGCGCCCGCGGCCGACCCGCCCGCCTCGCCGTACCGACACCACCATCCACCGCACGCGCATATACCTAGATGGTTGGTTACCTATTTATTATAGCGCTATTCAAATTGTAACCAAAATGTTTAGTTACCTACATGGAGGTTAGAGAGAAGCAGAACGATCGCTACGTACTAAAGCATTAGCCCGCCTGACCCTGAAAATTTGTAGTATTTATAGTTCATTTTTCAGCCACCAGCCGCGCTGCCGTCCGTAAGTAGTATCTGTGAAGTTAGCTGTTTATGAGTACAAGTAGATGAAGTTAGTTGAATATTGTACAAATTTTGTTTCGCGGCATTGGTCATTTCAAATTAGCCCGCTTTTATTGAGACAACTTAGCGATCGCAGCGCCTCACTTATTTTGTCCATATTTCTGGTACACTATTTTCTACGGCGATCGTTCTCCTTATCTCTTACCTTCATGGTTACCTATTTGTAATAGCGCAAACTTAATGGCTGCTGTGTAGTTAGCGCAAGACGCTGCGCAGTAAATTAAATGTAGGGTAATGTTGGCGCGTGCGGGATGTCACTCAACTGAAACCCACACGTAGCGCACGCTGCTAACTTCACAGCCGCTATTAAGTTTGAATCTCACTTTATTACCTTACCCGTATACACCCTTGTTATACACCCTTAAGGGCCAGTTTTAATTTCGACCTCCAGTAAAAGGTGAAGGACAATTTGGTTAGATTTCTTAGTAAAGTTAAATTTGATTAACCTCTCCTAGTATGGCCGTAAGTCTTGCATTCTATCCATACAGTAACATTGTCAACTTTCGATAGATTTAGAAATTTCGCTTATGCTGGCTCTTCACGTCGCTGTTCGTATTTGCCTAAGTTTAACAGCTTTCTGTCATTATTATTGCCTAAAGAGACATAAAAGGAAATAGTAGTGTCAAATTTAGCAAGGCAGATAAGAACAGCCACATGAAGAGTGAAGCACCAAGACATTAGGAAAGATAAAGATTGATGAACAAAACTTAAAATGGACGCAAAAGAAAGTTTTCCAAATCATTGTCGAACTAAACCGCGTATTGCGTATCAATTGTTACCTATTAGGCTTTAGATGAAAAATTATTGAATAACTTCAACTGTGACCAGTTTCATTGGATTATTGATAATCGAATGTATGTGCTAATAGAAGAAAACGGAAATATAAAAGCCTATTAATGGTCTGAAAACTGAGGTTTGCTGACTTAATTCGTTCCGAATCGCCTTTAAGTGTTAAATAAAAGGGATTGTGGATGGAGTAAAAATTAGACAATAGTGCAGTTCCAGTCTAGTTAAACAGTTTTTATTGAAGTACTCTTGCTATGTAAATTATTATTTTATGGACTAATGACAAGTATATAAAAAATATACACTACATATAGAGTAGGTATAAAAAAATATATTCCGTTTATGTTTTGTATACTCGTCGTGGTTTTTTTCCCAAATTTGATTATAATTATTTTCCACATTTGTAATTCGGTGTGTATTCGGGCGCGTATAACTCGTGCCATTAAAGAAACAATTCGAGATGAAAACGCCAGACATTCTGTGAGGAAGAGAATATCTTGCGTCGTCATTTTCGATACACTCTGTCCTGACAGGATGTCTTTCGTCGCCATTTGTGATACATTTTGTCCTGACAGAATGTCTAACGTCGCCATTTGCGATACATGTTGTCCTGATAGAATGTCTAACGTCGCCATTTGCGATACATTTTGTCTTGACAGAATGTCTAGCGTCACCATTTGCGATACTCTTTGTCGTGACAAAATGTCTTACGTTCCCATTTGCGATACATTGTCCTAATGCGGACACTTCACAGAGCTATTTGTAAACATGAAATCAGCCTCTCCTTTTCACTCCCTCCCTTTAGAGTATGATAAGGACAGCCTTATGTCTAAATGTCAATAGCATATACGAATAGCCATGGATGTGCCGACATGACAGAATATATTGCGATGTCATTTATTTGTTTATTGTCCAAGCTCCCAAGCTCGCCAGACCGTACTTATTTTCTGATGGACAAAATTACGTATGTTGTAGAGAATATTGTAAACAAATTGAAAACTATACTACCAGACACATTCTATAAGCAGTATTACAGTGTATTGGTCCTTAGACTCTAAATTTTACCTGCCTGTGTCAGTTAAAGTATGGGGAATTCATCTGGTACAAATGAAATGAAATGAAAAGTCATTTATTCAGGCTAGGCTGTTACAAGCACTTGTGAAGGTCAAGAAGCTACGCCATCGGTTCGCAAAACTACGTCGGGAGACCTTGTACTGAGAAGAACCGGCAAGAAACTCAGCAAGGGCTGCTTTTTTCTCCCTGTATTGATATATACAGAGTCGTCAAGTTGAAAAAGGACTTCAGAGATACTTCTGAAGTCACCTTCCATTACATTGTTTAGGATATATATAGTTACAATAATTTTATATTTAGTATATAGGAAGCGGCATTAGATAGGTACTATATTACTGTTACAAAAACTGACTCATACCCATCAAATAACAAATTACAAGAAACACTATGTCCATGCATTACGATCATTTAGATAATCATTAACTTTATAATAGCCCTTATTCATAAGAGTATTCTTGATCTGAGATTTAAATTTGGTTAGTGGAAGCTTAATCAGATCTTGGAGAACTTTGTTAAACAATGCAATACTACATCCCAGAAATGAACCTCTTGACTTTTGGAGTCAAACATGGAACGGCAAGCTTTATTTTTAAATCTCGTTTTAAAGTTATGGGTTTGAGTTTATTTGCAAATACGTTACATATAGTTTTTTCTTACATATATTATATTTTCATAAATGTATTGCAGTGTTAAAATATTAATTTCTTAAAAAAATTCTGTAAGAGATTCTCTTGCCTTTAAATTATATATGGCGCGAACAGCACTCTTTTGCAGTACGAAAATACTTTCTATATTAGCAGCTGAGCCCCACAACAAAAGGCCATATGACATAACGCTATGAAAGTAACCAAAGTAAACCAATCTTGCCGTTTCCACATCAGTTAGGAGTCTTTTTTTTTTTAACAGCGAAAGCCGCAAAGCTCATCTACTTGATAAGGCATCAATATGAGGATCCCATTGCAAAAGCGAGTCTAAAGTAATACCCAGAAACTTTGTAGAATCCACTAACTCTACAGGCTGGTCATTTATTTTTAAACTAGTAATAACCTCCCTCACATTAGGTAAAGTAAACTTAACACATTTTGTTTTACTAGAGTTTAGTTTTAAATTATTTACCCTAAACCAGTGAAGGACTTCAGAGAGAGCACAATTTACTTCGTCATAACAATCATTTCCTCTCCTAGCTTTAAACACTAAAGAGGTGTCATCAGAAAATAGTACTGTCTCACACAAATCTCTTGTAAAGTGAGGAAGATTATTGATATAAATAAGGAAAAGCAATGGGCCCAATATTGAACCCTGGGGCACGCCCATAAAAATGGGTGCTCCTATAGACTCAGCTTCATTTATAACTACTTTCTGAATCCAAGCAGAAAGATAAGACTGTATCAGACTTAGTGAAATATTTGATACACCATAATGCTTCATTTTATTTAACAATGTTTCATGGCTAACGCAATCAAACGCCTTAGATAAATCGCAAAAAATGCCAATAGCATCGTGCTTACTCTCCCATATATCAAAAATGTGTTTGAGAAGTGCAGCTTGCAAGCTTCCTGACGCCTAAATGTTCGTGTAATATTTTTTGAACTTGACTCATACCAATGCCTAGGCTTGCCCGTATCTGCTGATAGGTCACTATCTTATCTTCCTCTATCATGCGTCGCACAGCACTGATGTTATCTTCAGTAGTCGCTGTTAAAGGACGTCCCTCACGCGGATCATCATTGAGATTGCTACGTCCATGCTTAAACTCGTTAAACTAATTGTAAATAGAGTCACGAGATGGGGCTTCATTAAGAAATGCTAATCGCAGCCTATCATAGCTTTGTTGTAGAGTAACCTACAACGAAAGTCATAATAAATCATTGACCGAAAATTTTCTCGCGTTAGGTTCATTTTCACGTGTAACAAGAGTTTCGGATTTGCCGCCAATTCACAAAAACAAATGACTGCAATATACTACATTAGGTTACCAAAGAGTTTTTTTTTTTTTTTTTTTTATTCTTTATTAAGCCATACACCTTAAAGGTTAAGCCGGCTACAACCAAAGAGTTCTAAAATTGAAATTATAAAAAAATCATTAACAATGTTTCTAACTGGCCAATTCTAAGCAATTGACATAGACAGGATACAAGTCCATAAAGCGGCCAATTCTAAACATTTTCAGTGCTACCCACGTAATGTCCAAAAAACTCCAAATAATTTAATGTCAAAATTATGTCATAGTAAAGCGGCAAAAGCTATTACGTCAAATATGATTGTTCAGTAAATAACAAGTTTTTTAAAATGGTTGTAGCAAAATAATCATAGGGTGCGTCAGGCAAAAAAATTGGCTGATCGTACACACTAATACGAAATTATCCATATTTTGTCCATATGAACATAAGTAAGGTTTGGCGGCCTTTGGATCTTAGGGGTCGTTCATAAAGTACGTCACACTAATTTGTGATTTTTTTTACCCCTTCCCCGTCTTTACTTGTCACATTTGTGAGCACCCCTTCCACCCCTTGTTATACAATATCACATTTCGTCGACCCCCTCCCTCCCCCTTAACGTGTGATGTAATTTGAGGCTGTCAGCGCAATAGTGGCCTAACCCTCATATTCTGATTCATCTTCTACAATTAAATAAAAATGTGTTAAAGTTAACTTCATAATCGGCCTATCTCTTGTTTCACTAGGCGTCAATAGATGGCGTTGCAAACGTTCTTTTTGCATTGTTTTTTTTCGCTCAAACTTAACTTCAAAAGTGGCCTTAGACGCTTAATCAGAATATGAATAATTGAGGGTTATTCCACTTTTGCGCTGACAGCTCATTTATGGATGCCCATTACTCTGATAGTGTTGAGTTACAGTGATTAAGTTGTAGTGCCTTGCGCAGGGAGCGCGCCGTGTGCACGGGCCGCTGTTGTTGCTCGCCGGCGCACAATATGTACCCGCCGCATGCGCACAGTCAGTATAATACCATTATCATCATTTATATTATGTATATTAATGTTCCCACTGCTGGGGCACATGCTCAGAACACTCGCTAGAGTAGAGACCGCAATATAAAGGTACCCGCTTGTGGCGCTGTTCTATAAAATGACATGAAACTGCAACTGTCCTCCCGCTTAATGCAGCGCAGGCCCAAAGTAATATCTAATAAGTGGCCGCCCGCGATATCGTCCGCGTTTTAGTTTTTCGAGAATTCCTCGGGAACCTAACAGTTTATGGGATAAAAATTATCCTGTCTCTATCCAGATAAATCAACTTTATGTGAGCCAAATTTCATCCAAATCCGTTCAGCTGTCTTTGCATGATTGATTGTGTGTCAGACATACAAATACACAAACTTTCACATTTATAATATTAGTAGGATACTGTATTAGCGTATAAAACGACCCCAAACGTCGCGATATGAGATTGCACCTGAGGCGCGGGACAGATAGAAAAGTTGTAAGACGGAGATGGGGCGCGGACACAATAGGGTATTGACTAATATTTATTGAGTCTGTAAAAAGTGGATATTCATCGGTCTGTTGTGTATTTCAGCAAACCAAACCAAATCAAAAACTCCCCTTTTCAAGTTGCCGCGAAAACGTTTTTCTGGACAATATGGCGTCTTACTAGTGTGTGACGTCACACGACTGTTCTTAAAACGTCAAACGATACAATGTAATGTCATTTAACCGGAAGTTTACTTGCGTGTGAAGTCATTTTAGGCTCCGCCAATCCCAAGCGTTTTGGGTCACGTGACGATAAGAAAACTATTATCTTTTTCGTGGGTTTTTAGTAAAATTATGAATATTTTTTTTGTTAAAATAGTAAAAACTCCTGCCAATATTCATTATAAACACAGATGCTAACAATTGGCACTTTATTTTTAATACTCTCAAATACCCTATTATGTCTCTTCCGCGTCATTTTCATCCAACACGTAAAGAGGCGTGGCGCCGCAAAACATATAGAAAAGACGGGGCGCGAAGAGGACGCTTCTTTTTTTGTATGTTACTGACAATATCCGCGCCCTGTCTGCGCCTTTCACCTTTTCTGTGTCACGCACCTAATTTTCATGTGACTGTTGTGTCATACCAACGTGTCCAATCAAAACGCGGCGGAACCTCCCCAGACGCTACCAACTTTCGAGTTTTCGATTTCGAACAAACATTGATAAGTAATGCTGACTAATGGGGGTGTTCTGTGGGCACAGACCTTCCTAATAATGGAATGGGATAGTGGACTATGATTATGACTCAACACGCCCGCCCAGTGTGCATTGGTAGGTGCTAATGACTGCTGATGCAGCAGGACCAATGGCTTAACGTGCCCCCCGTGACCTTACAAAGCTTCACAAGACGGCACACAGTAGACGTCATCGAACCGAGCGTTATAAATAAATTCAACTTAAATTCGTTTAATGGAGAAAAAAATCATTAATTCATTTATTTTTATTTTTCTGTTAAATCGTTTATTCCAATCTTTAAATATAAGCAGTTTTCAAAAATTTGGAAAATACCCTATTATTCATTCAAACGCTGGCGGCAGCGTCATCTGTTAACTGTAGCATAATGATACTTTAATTTACCAATAACAAATAATCTCTAAAAAAGCTAGCAATATGAATTATTCTAATTGTAGTTGTTCACTGCATTTTTAGGCTTATTTTGTAAAATCGGCTTGTCTTCGATCCGTATTTTGATGCTTTTGAGAAAACCATAAATTATAAGAAGTTATGATGAAAAAATAAACTATGATTTTATTGTTCAGTGAACGACCGTCGAAGGGATGTGATGTCCATCGCACCGCCTTACTTAGTGCACGAACGCCTGTGGCATCGGCAGCAACATATGCTTGTAAGTGTTTTTTTTAAGTATTTTTAATGCATAATAGGCAAGGCGTTTGACAATCTCGCCTGATGGAAAGCGATGATGTTGCCTAATGTAGGAAAATCGTTGGGTATAAATAATGAATAAAAATTGTATTATGCAAAAGAATCTCTAGCAAGCAAACTGGTTTTAATAGGTTTTGAGCCTGGGGGGCCGTAACACAGGTTTTGTAACCTAGTACAATCTCCAGCTCTCCCAAAGAACTGCATTGTTTTTACTGTTATTGTAATTCAATACCCTTTTTCTTCATTATAATGTTACTTGGTGACTGAGGGAGAAAATAAAATAAATCATTCATTTATTCATTAATTTTTTTTATTTATTTATTCAGTTTCACATGTTGGTTTACAAAGCAAGTCCTACACACCAACAAGTCAATGCAATGCAATACAAAAACATTCATTATATAGAAATAGTCATAAGTAGAATCACAATTACAAAGTAAAAAAAAATAAACATGCATCAAAGTCAAGGAAGTTACAGAATCAAAAATGTCAATAAGATACAATTGAAAATGTAAAACTAATAATAAGTTACTAATTAAAATAAACTAGATAATGCATAAGACCGGTCAAAAACATTCTTGTGAATTCATGTCAAATATAATTAGATTGAAGTACATTATTATTTAAACATTACAGATTAAAACCCAGAATCTAAAATTTGGTGAGCTATGGTAATTAATCTCCCCAGAAGCAAATAAGTCTAAGTGATCGTATTGAGCGAGCTTGTCCCTGATCAGGCGCATTGCACGTACTGTGGGCGCTTGGGCAGCGTGGACAGCAAGCGCGGCCGCCGGCGCGACTCCAGTAAACCCTCGGCATCACCCGGGATGCGAGTGGTTACCAAAAGGCGTACTCTTTCTAGCACGTGTGGGGAATAAATCTTTTATAGATAAATAGGTCTCCACTGTCGCGTGTTATTTCCAGTATATTATTGTGCTGTTTTAAATTGCTATGTTTTTGTGTACTCAGGAGGTGCAACGTCGAAGTATGATGGGCGATATGAGGGGTGGCAACTGGCATTTCCCGAGCGCCTATGCCATCCCACCACCGCCCACTGCCGTGCTCTCAGTAAGTTTCAACAATAAATTGTTAATGTTTATAACACACTAGCTTACCCAGCGTATTTCGCACTGCTTACAATAATTTGGAAGAAATGATAAACGACAAACGTCAAATGTTTGACAGGAAAGAAGATAGAACAGTTTATATGGGAAAATTAAATTGACGTTTTTACTATCTTTCTCGCAATTTTTCCATATTTTCTCACCTTTTAAACCTCCCCTAGACCTCCAAGAACATTTCAAGACCAAGATAAGATAAATCCGTTCAGCAGTTCTCGAGTTTTAGCGAGACTAACGAACAGCAATTGATTTTTATATATATAGATTAACTCACTTAGAAAGTTATTATCAAGTACTGTACCATTAGCACGAACCAATATCGAATTCGTATCGTTTGCGAGTCACTGCCAAATCTGTACTGATTTTTAGTTCTCGTCACGTACGTTATGGCGCTAATGTTCAAGTTTTCATACTTAATTTGACATTGACATTTCGCACTCGCAAACTATTCGAATTCGATAATGGTTCGTGCTAGGGGTACTGTTCAATCATCTCAGGCTCCTAGACTTTCCGTAATTTACTGTTTTGTCTATCTGACCATTATTTTGCACAAGGGCGGAAAATCAATCATTATTTATTCAAAACATGCATACAACATACAAATAATTCTTTTACTTAAATTATTTATAGGTAAACTAATCTTTTGTATATATATGTTTAAATATCGTTATTTACTGTTAATTAAATAAATTAGACAAACAAAATTTTCTTAAAGTATAGGTTCACGTAACAAGTGAGGGTCGTTAATTAATAACCCAGTAAACTGTCGCTTGAGAAATACATTAAGCAAGTGATTATTTTGTAGTTCCAAGATGAATATGAACCGCGCGATCTACGCTCCCACCGGGTTGTGGGAGGACTGACCGCCGGTATTGCGCCCGCTCCTATGGTGCTGTAAGTACAAATTCGTTGTTTATTTAAATACTAGCCGGCCGTCCTCGCTTCGCTTCGGTGAAGACTATAGTAGAGGAGCAGGCAAACAAAACGGTATAATTACATAAAATTAAATTATACAGGAGCTGTATAAAACTGAATGACATACCTACAGTGAGGTTTTGGCGAGGTTTTCAATTTATTAATTTAGTAATTATAACACTGTTTTAGGTGGTTTTGATTGAAAATTCAATGAGCCCGAAACCTCCGGACTTTAAAAAAAGTAGTTTGACCAGATGTGTAATTATACCGTTTTGTTCGCCAGCGCCTCAGTTTTTGTTTTAATATATAGCCTACTAGCGGCCGCCCGCGACTTCGTACGCGTGGAGTTAGTTAGAAATAAAGGTTCACTGCTCGTTCCCCGCAGGTGATAGCGTGATAATATGTAGCCTATATGTTGAACCAACTTATTAATAATATTCGTGCCAAATTTGAAGTAAATCTATGCAGTACTCTTTGAGTTTATCCTGGACATACATACAGACCAACAGACAAAAAATCTAAAAACTATATTTTTGGCTTCAGTGTCGATTGTAGATCACACCCTAATTATTCTTTTAAAAAAATATTCAATGTACAGTTTTGACTTTCCTACCATTTTATTATGTGTATAGATAGATAGCGGCCCGTCCTCGCTTCGCTTCGGTGAACTATAGTTTTTGTTCTAATATATAGCCTACTAGCTGTGCCCCGCGATGTTACCCGCAGTTTATTAGGGCTATTTTCCCGCAGTAAAACGTAGCCTATGTGTTAATCCAGGGTGTCAGCTAACTCTATACCAAATTTTATTAAAATCGCTCCAGCCGTTTAGACGCGAAGAAGTAACAAACATACACACGCACAAACTTTCGCCTTTGTAGATGACACTGCAAACAAGTGGCTTTTTATTGCTAAAAGAATTTTCAAACTCGTTTCAGTGGAATCAGAGAATAACCCCTACAACGTCAGAACTTTCAAGCTTTACCTCTTTATATAAAAGTATAGACTAGTGATCACAACAATCATGATAATTAATATATTTATCATGAAATCTATTAGAAATCATGGTTTTGTAATGTAAATTCAGATAGGTTATATCCTACGTGCTTGCGAGTGTTTGTTTACTATTTTATTCCCGTCATACCATAGATAATCTATAGACTAAAATGGCCGACAGCGTTTTTGTATGTCCATGAAAAATCTATTTTAAAATTAAAGTTTTGTAGCTTTCTAGGTAAAAAAAAATACAATATATATATATTTTTTTCGGTCTAATTGAACAATTTATTAACCATTTAAAACATATTTCCAAAAAGTGTCATCTAGCCTATAATATAGTGTAAGTAAGTTTCGAATAAAGTGGTGTTTAATGTCTATATAAATTATGTTTATTGCGTTGCGTGGTAAGTTTTGTTGTATGCAAGTTTCATAGAGGTTTAATTGTCAGTATTATTCTATTTTTAACACTTACAGCAATTAGCCTAGCCCCAAAGTAAGCACGGTGAGGCTTGTGTTCTGGGATGCTAGGGTAACGGATAGAATACATATATTTGATATGTATTTAAGTAAAGTTATGAAGTTATTCTCCCCAGTGCCTATTGGCTTAAGGGAGTTTCGAGTCTTGAAGCATTGACCTGGTTTTCTCGATAATTGTCCGGTTAACTCGTTAAAACAGCATTCTGCTGTGGAGTGTACAGTACTGTAGTTTGGTGTACAGTACCACCTAGGTAAACACCTTTCGAAAAGTGGACATGTCTTTGTTGACATATTCGCGCTCATTATCGGAGCGTAGAATTTTTATACGTTCTCCGGTTATTAATTATTATTATATTATGATTTTCAACTAAATTCTACAAATTCATTAAATACTTCGCTTCTGATTTTAAAAGATATCTAAAAGTTTTGCGATTTAAGTCGTCTGTAAAAGTTAAAGATAAAGGGTCCGGTCCCCAGGAGTGCGTACTCATAAGTCCGTATGAATTAATATGTATTAAAAAATAAATAGGACTTTACTCGGTCTACTTCGCGACTTAAAAAAAGGTTTTTTGTATGGTTTACCTTGTATACTAGGAATAATTGTCTAAATGCCGTTATAGTCTATGCCCATGTAGATACACATCTTATTCTTTGATAAGAATATTTGCATACTCTTTATATTCGGATGGCCAAGATGACTATGCCAGAGAAGAGCAGATACTTTGGAAGGAGTATACCAAGCTTGTGAACTATTTTGACTGTCGAGTTTGTACACGCCCTTATAGTTTTACTCTGTGGCAATGACAGTGCTTGTCACATCAGAACCACCGCTGACAAATATTTAAGTGGATGTAAACAAAATATCGAAACCTTGTCTTAATTTTTCGATTTTCGTGAACGTGATTGCAATAAAAGTTGTATTCAAGTATTTGAAGTGTGATTTTCTAGTTTCTATTGGAATTTTATGGGATCTGTCGTTAATCGCGAATAGAAAGGCGCCAGACAGAAAAGTTTTACGAATTATCTACATAACATAGGTTACGTATTCTTTAGCTGTGACCATCTTTGGGTTAAAATATTAGTAAACACGTAAAAAGTCCGCCGTAATAAGTAGATCGCTTACAACTTCACCGAGTAAGGTCCACGACGGATTAATTATACCGCGGACAAAAAGTTCCCCGAACTACCGCGGACACCGAGAGACCGGACAGGGCAAAAGTACGCGAGAGTCCTCAAAAAAAATAGAACATTTGTGACAAGGGGCCATCCAAAAATTACGTCACACGTTAAGGGGGAGGGAGGGGGTTGACGTAGTGTGACAAGGGGGTGGGAGGGTCCCAAACTTCGTGACGTCACATTTCAAAATCTATTATAATGTAAGTGTTGAAACACGAACTTTGAACTATTACTTTACTAAAACATTAAGGAGTGAAGGAGTGGGTTCAATGTCCATGGACTCAAGATTTTTAAGTTTGTATCTTTAATTTAAATATAATGCTATTAATATTTTTGTCTTGTTAGTTTCACAAATGTGACCAGCTGTGACAAGGACGGGGGGGACGGGGGCGGGGCAAAAATAATGAAATTCGTGTGACGAAATTTATGGATGACTTAGGATATAGTACTTTAGGTAAAATTCTGTGATGTAAGGGATAGGCATCTAATATGTATGTTTGTATGTATAATTTGTGTTATTTCAGCGATGGGCAGCACATACATCATCACATGCATCATTATCTGCAAATGCATCCTCCACATTTGCACATTTCGATTCAACCATCAGTAATGGTGAGTATAAAATTATCTTAATGTTTTCACTTTTATTTCCAGTTATGAAGACTTTTTTCTATAATGAAAGTGTTTGTAATCGTCAACCGCCACTTTATCACAAGTTTTAATGGAATGCAATATTTAACTCCTCGTTAAGAAATGATATATTCATTATTACTAATTTGTTTATAATGCGTATTGCGGCTCAAATTATTTTGTTATGTTTTTTGTAAATAGCTCAATTATATTCGTTAAGGTACACTAAAGATAATTAGTTTTCTTTTGAACTTAGTTGTGATTCCAAGTTCTATTTCAACTTTATAGTTAAATTATACTGATTAAAGGTTTGTTTCACAAACGAGTAAACTACTAATAGGTTAATTCTTTCGTTAACTTTTATCCGTTTCACAATTTAAAAATTAAAGTGAAGAGTTCTAAACTAATTAATACGTCCTCTTGGGACGTTGGCATCATAAGAGTTAAACGTTACGTTTTAGGTCACGAATTACTTAGTAATGTGTGTTTTTAAGAATATTAATCATTATAAATTTTTTTGTGATTGCCGTGTGTATAAATAAATATCTTAATTATATAAATTGATATTAAAAAAATGTATTTACCAATAGCTATATTTTTTCTAGTAAATATGAAAACAAAGACATTAATTATTTTGTATTAAAAATCTGTTTGAATGGAAGACAACATAGTGTCAATGTCGGTTTTAATTGTTAGATAAATGAAAATTAAGTGTGTTTATAGTAATTTTACTTGAATTTTCACGAAAATATCTGTTAAAATCGTTAAAAGACAGGAAATGTTATTATATTCACGCGTGAAAAAAGATTTTATTTTTCGTATGATTTCGAAACATTGGTTCCTTACGTCGTCCTTTCTAAGTACAAACCATTATCGAATTCGATCTCAATACGCGTCAAATGTCAATAAGTTCGAACTTCTGTTTCTTAATTCTTGTTACGTCCGTTGTGACGTTGTTCATGTTTCCATACAAAATTTCTCGATGGCGATTCGTAATTGCAAACGTAACGATTTCTATATTTGTTTGTGCTAAGTGTACTGAGTATTTTTGTTCAATCGAAGTAGCGTACTCAGCGATTGTGAAACAGGGACTTAGTACTTAGTAGTACAGGTTTACTATAATAAAAAAACGAGGGAGCCTTACAGTAGTCGCGTACGATGTGTAACATTTGAAACCTCACCTTATATTAGTAAAAAAAGAAATAAACCCTACTACAAAAGGAATGAGCTATTTGAAAATTATGTTCTAAAATCAAATCAAATAGCAGGAAAGCGAGAGGAAAGATGTTACACATCAAATCATCATTTTCATATTCTTTCTCTCTGCATTATGTTCGCTTATGGAACTCACTATCCGAAATAAACGTCGATCAGTAATCAAGTTATGGGTCATTTCCTTTCACAACTTTGAATCTTACCTCTCTCTTTGGATATATCTATTGCATTGTATTGTTATTATTTAGTTATATTTAACTATACCATACATTACAACCCCTTCTTTTTCCTTTTATTTATTTTACTTTCATGGGTTGCCTGGAAGAGATTGCTATTTAGCAATAAGGCCGCCTATTGAGTACGTTTTCACTGACATGTTTTATGGCTTAATCAATACAAATACATAAACCTATTATGTGGGAGACTGGTGCCTGTAAAAGGCAACTACGAATAGCTACCTGTACTAACAGGTCACCAGGCCCAGACTATCAATGTGCATCTGAATTGAGTGTTCCTTGTTTAGTTTTCAATAAAACCAAAACGTACATTTAGTGTAAAATTGTCAAAACTCATCACCGAAATCAAAAAAATTGTCACTCTCAGGCGATCGAAGATATTGCCCAAAATGTGGATCACTCAATTCAAACATTAGGCATAATATTATATGCTTAATCTCAGAAAACTTTAACGCTGTGAACGAAATTTTGATATTAAAAAAATGTACAGAATTTGTCACATTATTTTACAAAAAATCAAGTTACTTCAACGTAAATCCAGGAATCTATGATAGTTTCATTGGATCACTCAATCCTGACGCATTTAGATTGAGTGATCCTAGAAATACGGCGTTATGTTTACGAAGTACGTAATATTTTTTTGCCACCTTGAAGGTAACTTTTGGAAATATCTGTACAAATTAATAACACACCACAAATACTTATAGATAAAAGTTATGACCAATCAAACCTTTTTTAACCTTTTTGGAAATGAGTGATCCTTATAAACGCATGTAGATAAATAACTCTTGGTATTAAGTATACAGAAAATATGTTGAAATATTGTACAATATTTGGACTAAAATTTGGCATATAATTTATTTGAATACGTCATTCCAAAATTTGGCATATAATTTATTTGAATACGTCATTCCATTTATTTATTTAAAACTTTATTGCCACAATTACAAAAATGGACAAAAGGCGGACTTAACGCTAAAAGCATTCTCTGCCAGTCAACCTTTAGGCGTAGAGACATTCACGCGATTCCATTCGCGAGATTTTCGTTTTTAATTTTTTATTACAGAATGAAGTAGTGTAGGGTAGATATCAACTTTGTCGTTTGACGGACCTTTTTTCTTTTACCGTCATTTAGGCTAATTTCTGTATTATCACGCCCTAGAAGATGCAATTCCTTGTAGCGATGAAAAGGGAACTTGTATTTCCTGTAAAGGTACTACTGTTTATAATTACGAATTTTCAAATATTATTTCAATGGACTTAAATGGAACAGAAAAAGTAAATTTATATGATTTGCCCGTAAGGATTTTAATTTAAAATAGATCCTACAGATTACTAGGAGGTATAGAATTTATACCTTCTATGCAACCTGGTGGAATCGTTCATTATCGAGCCCACGCCTATACGCCTAAGTGGGCGCATTATTTGCTACGATGATAATATGCAAAAAAATATAAAATAAAACAGTAAAAAAGAAACACCAAAATTTTTACATGTACTTACATACGTATTTTGCAATTTATAATTTCCAATAACAGTAAAAACTGTTTTATTTAATGAGTGATGTGCGTGGAAACCTAAGAAATTGATATAATGTGTTTTAATATCTTTAGGCGGAAGCGGGCGTAGAGGCCCGCGGTGCGACGCGCGCCGTCATCGAACGCAACACGCTGCGGCACGCGTACGCCGCCTCTACCCGCGCCGACGACAAGTGCACCATCTGCCTGTCCGCCTTCGAGGCCGCGGCCGACTGCAGGCGAGTGTGGCCTTACAATGATATACTCATCAAAACAGTCTAGGCAACATGAATTTTGTTGAATTGTTGACCGATTTTGAATACCTATATTATGCCCCCTCCACCCGCGCCGTCGACAAGTGCACCATTTGCCTGTCCGCCTTCGACGTTGTACCGAATGCACTATTGACTTGCACCATTAATGGTGCAGATGAAACTTGATTGGTTTCGTTTGCGCCATTAATGAGAATAGTATTATTTCCCCTTTCTTCCTCGTCATAAAAAATGAATTTTGAAAAAACAAATGTATGCCGAATAAAGAAATAAAGCCTCGAGTATGGCCTTCGCTGCAGTAAGCGAGAGCACGGAGCGGACGTGTTTGTTTCATGCTATTTAATAGAAATCAGAAATCAATATATCTTTATTCAAATTGGATGTATAGTACAACACTTTTGAATCGTCCAAACATTTTTTTCCCTACCACTCGTTATTGGACATATTTTTTAGCTGCGGAGAAAAACGAGCGAAAAAAACTCCACAACATTAAAAGAATAATGTAACAACATTTACAAATCATTATGTTGTTACAACGTCAATACAATCATGATTTATTTAATATAGAACACCTGTTGGAATGATTGGAACAGTTCAAACCCAAGCATTTTTGTCTGTAATATAATCAGACACTTTGTAATAAGCTTTTTTAATAAGTGCTTTTTTATACTATCTTTGAATTTATTTATGCTTAACTCTTGGATATTGCTTGGGACTTTATTGTATAAGCGAACACAAAGACCTTTAAATGAATTATTGATTTTGTGAAGCCTAGTAGCAGGTAAAGTTAGTTTATTTTCTTGTATTAAGTGTGTGAACATCACTGTTTTTAAGAAACAAATTAATATTTTTTCTTACAAGTAATAAATTTTCGTAAATGTATTGTGATGCGACCGTCATTATACCAAATTCTTTAAACCTCTTTCTCTCTCTCTTTCTCTTAAGGAATCCTTAACTTTAAGATTATAAATTGATCGAATAGCTCTCTTCTGCAGCACAAAAATAGTTTGAATGTCGGCGGCGTTTCCCCACAATAAAATTCCGTACGACATTACACTATGGAAATAAGTAAAGTATACTAATCTGGCCGTATCTACATCCGTTGACTGGCGTATCTTCATTACGGCATATGCTGCAGAACTAAGTCTATTTGACAATTTATCAATATGTGGGCCCCATTGAAGCTTAGAATCTAAAGTAATCCCTAAGAATACTGTGGTGTCTACAAGGCCCATATTCCTATCCTTTACATTCACACTGGTTTTTACCTGTTTTACATTAGGTAATACAAATTTCATACATTTCGTTTTTCCTTCATTTAGTAATAAATTATTAACATTAAACCAGTGGACTACCTTAGAGATACAACTGTTCACGTCGTCAATAACTGTTTCCTTACGTTTGAGTTTAAATAAAAGTGATGTATCATCCGCGCACAAAACTATCTCATGCTTATCTCTAACGTAGTAAGGCAAGTCATTAATATAAATTAAAAATAAGAAAGGACCAAGGATTGAGCCCTGCGGAACACCCATTTTAACCTGCGAACCCGCAGACCTATTGCCGTTAATATCAACCCTCTGGATCCTATCCATCAGGTATGACGCAATAAGATCCAGATCAGTATCTCCAAATCCATAGTGGTGGAGTTTCCTGAGTAATGTTTCATGAAAAACGCAATCAAAAGCCTTGGACAAGTCGCAAAACACACCTAGAGCGTCCTGCGAGTTTTCCCAGGCGTCAAAAATTTGTTGTATAAGTTCAACACCGGCATCGGTTGTTGAACGACCCCGTGTAAAACCAAATTGTTTACAGTGAAGTATATTATATTTATTAAAATGTGTTTGCATTTGATCTAACATGATTTTTTCGAAAATTTTACTAAAGGTGGGTAGCATAGAAATTGTTGTGTCTAAAGTTTGTGGGGTCTGATGTACTTCCCGTTTTATGCAAAGGAGTTATTTTACTGTATTTCATGAGGTCAGGAAAAACATCACAGTCAACACAATCATTAAATATGCAAGCTAGAATAGGAGCTATTGTCTCAATTACCGATTTAGAAACATCAACGGAATTGCCCCACTGATCCGCGGTTTTCTTTTTATTTAATTGGTGAAACGTTTTAATTACATCTTTAAAGTCAACATGTTTAAAATGAAAATGACTAGTACAAGGTTATGATTTTATTTATTTTTTAAGCATTTAACTGCTAGATGTTTAAATCTAAAGAAAAGTTTACTAGAAAATAAATCCACGCGGACCAGGCAGCGGACGGGACTCGAACCCGCATCCTTCGCTATCCGGGCGAATGCACTGACCATTATATAGTATATATTATTATTAGGGCCGTGGTAGCATAATGGTCAGTGCATTCGCCCGGTTAGCGAAGGATGCGGCTTCGAGTCCCGTCCGCTGCCTGGTCCGCGTGGATTTATTTTCTAGTAAACTTTTCTTTAGTACAAGGTTTCACGTTTTCTCTTAAGATTGATTCGGCAGCAATGGGGGAAGAGTTCAAAGATTTAGTAGTTGAAACTGGAATATCAGTAAAGAAATTTTCGAAAGCTTTAGCAACTTCAATATCTGAAGTAACCCTTTTATTATCAATATTTAAGTTATTTAAATATTTAGGTTATAATTATTATTATTATTGCGAGTTTTGGATTTTCCAATTTCATCGTTTATAATATTCCATGTCGTTTTGATTTTGTCATTACTGTTCTTAATCTTTGAACTTAAGTAATTTGATTTTGCTAAGCGGCATACTTTTTTAAACAATTTAGAATAGTTACGAACATGCTCTTTAAATTTTTCACTAGTGTTACAGTTTCTTTCATTATAAAGTTCATAAAGTGTCCTTCTACTTTTATGAATTCCAGGCGTAGCCCACTTAGTAAAAGTTACCGCATCATTAACACAGATTTTTTTGGGTACAAAAACATTATTAAGTTCAGTGCAGTATATATTAAAAAAATCATTATATAAATCATTTGGACTGTCTTTATATTTTAGATAACACATTTTTCTATTTAATTGAGTTTTAAAACGTTCCACACGATTAGCAGATTTTGGTACAACAGTGATGTGTTTTTTTGTCACCTGCTTGAGCTGATATGGAAATGTAATCAACTGGCCACAATGATCACTATCTAGTTTATTAATAATTTGTTTTTTCTGTGGTATGATATCTGTATATATATTATCAATACAAGTGGCCGAAGTGGCAGCTATTCTAGTAGGCTCAATGAATAAGTTTTTCAGATTGTATGATTGAAATAAATTTTTTATTTTAGTACTCGAACTAGATTTTTCTAATAAATCAATATTGAAGTCACCACAGACAATCAATCGTTTGCCTGTAGTGTAAGTTTTCTTAAGAGCTTCATCCATGATAGCTTCAAAACAATCATACAATGCTGATGGAGGTCTGTATACGCTCAATACAACAAGCCGGTCCAGTTCCACATAGGCAATTTCTATTGTTCGCTCAACCGAGAGGCTCACAATATCTCTTCGTTCCTTAAATTTTAATTTTTTATTCAATAATATTAAAGAGCCACAGCGAATTGCATTTTCTCGATTGAACAAACTACCAACCTGATGATTATTGAAATTAAATATATTCTGACAACTATTAAGCCAGTGTTCTGTAATACAATAAATATCTATATTATTACAATTCATGAATAATTCAATTTCTAAGTCCTTACCCATCATTCCTTGAATATTAAGATGCACCAGGTTGATAAAACTTACATTTTTTGCAATGTTTTTGGATGGTTTTTTTTTATCTATATTAACAAAACAATTATTTTTATTTACATTATTATTTAATGTGCAAGAAGAATTATCTTTTGTCTGATTGGTTAATTTAAATATTTATTATGATTTTGGGTGGTTTCAGTAGAATAATTACTGATTGTCATGTCAATAGAATATTGCTCAATAGGAGCAAGTTGTTTAGCCAAATTCTTGGCTGACATAAAAAAGAAATATGATAGCGACTTAGCTACCTGTCTTTTATTATAATTGGAAAGATAATATTTATCTTTCGTCAAATAAAAATTTCTAACATAATTGTTGGAGTCAATCAAATGATATTTATTGCTTTTACAAATTGTATAAAAAAGCATATTTAATTTGTATCTTAACAATTTTTTCTCCTTTGGCAGACTGTTGCAGTAAGGCAATGTGAACAATACAATTTTTTTCACATTTAATGCATTTAAATCTGTCACATATTTTATTAATGACTTTTTATTCAAATTGCCTCTATTTCCTATAAAAAACAACAAGATGTGGCATTTACTGTAGCTATGCTTACTTGCCTTTTCTAAAATATCATTATAAGAGGTACCAGGCATACAGTAATTTGTTATTGAATGTCCCATTTTAGATAAAAGAGGGCCCATATTCTTCCCAATTTCATCACTAAACATTATAATATTGTTATTTTTATTATCTAAAGATGCATTTCTTGAGTGAGTTACTTTCACTGGCGTCAAGTATGTACCAATTGGCTGATGTTGGGAATCAACAGATATAAACTTTTGTTGTAAAGTGGAGGAGTCACAATTGAGCGATGATTGAGTTCCCAACTGTTTACAGTCACAAGTGTGATTGTTAGTTAACGAATTAAATCTTTCATATAGCGCTGCTCTGTGAAATGATATGAAAATGCACGCAGAGCAGACGTCCGCTCTGTGCACCCGCTTAACGCAGTGCAGGCCTTTATGTGCAACAGAAATTTTACTATGTTCATATATCTATATCAGAGCGAAATTTTTGTTACACATAATCGAGGATAAAGCGACTGGCACATACATAATTTTTTCGCTTCCAGTCAATCGTGACCATAGGATAACATAATAAATTTAAATTTTCAGGCGGCTTCCGTGTATGCACTTATTTCACATGGAGTGTGTGGATCAATGGCTGAGCACAAACAAGCACTGCCCCATCTGTCGAGTGGACATCGAGACACATTTAAACAAGGATGCTACTTCTTAGAGATTGTTTTAACTGGTAGGTACTGCATAATACATATATTTATTTATTTTTTATATTTAAAGGGCGGCAAAGAAGCTTATGGCCTGCTTGAAGATCACCGGCCACCATAGCCTGTAGACGATTACGCAACGCAATACCAAAAATATCACTCGCCCCGTTGCCTACCCTGACCCACATTAAGTATTAAACTGCTACATTTACAACGGTGTGCATAATTGACCTCCTCCGAAATGGCTCGACCGATTTTCCTGAAATTTTATATGCATATTCAGTAGGTCTGAGAATCGGACATCTATTTTTTATCCCCCTAAATCTTAAGGGTGGTCCGCCATAAATTTTTTTTTGTCATTTTTTTTTATTATACTTCATACAAAAACACACACAACCCTAATTTTTCACCCTTCTACCACCCATAATTTTTATGGCGATACGAAGCTCGCGGGCTCAGCTAGTAATAAAATATTGCCTTGGCATTAGCTTTAATAATTTAAATATATTTTAACATGAAATGTACAATTGTTACTGCTAGCTTTCAGAGCTAGGAAAAAGATTTTTTTATCATTTATTATTTTTTCTTTTCCTAGCATCTTTATCACTGATTGCTTCTTCTTTCAGTTTCTCTTCGAGGTGAGGGGAGCTGATAATAGCTTGTTGCTGCAACTCTAAGCTCTCCTGCTGTAGATCATGCGTCAATTGCTTCTGATTGTTGCAAGTTCTATGGAGGGAAACATGAAATTACTGCCACTATGTACATAAAAACTAAACAATAAAAAAAGAGTATTTTGTTTACATTCTAATTAACTTTCGTTACTATTACAATGTTAAGGTCAAAAGAAGTGACAATTTGTTAAATTTTAATTAAGATTTATATTATTATTATGATTATATATATCAAATGCAAATGGATTAAGTAAGCAGAATTTTGTGTATTTTTTTTTATTCTGGATATGGAAGAATGATTTGAAAAAAAATGTAAGACTTAAAATATTACTATGGTCGAAAACCGTTGCATAATATTAATAAATGTTTTTAAATAAACTCCGTTTTTTAATACTTACCTACAAGCGTGGTCAATTCTTTCACATATTGCATCAGATGCAGCAATGTTACCAGACAGATATGATATTTCAGCAGCAACTGTTGCTAACTTCTCAGCATAGTCCATATAACCTAAGAAAGCAGATGGAAATGTAATTGTTGTTTTCAAATACAGTAAAGACTGTGTACTTTATGATATAGCCTTCAATATTAATTTACATCACCAACACATAATTTTTTCATCATTCATCAGCACAGCACCACATCAGAATTGCTTGTAGACTAAAATTATCATATAATTGTTTCCATTGCTGGACTAGGCATTAAGACTTTTCCTATGACCACATATATTATGTGGACGTCCACACCAAAAAGTAACATTTGACTTGTAGTTCAGAAAATAAGTTGAGTATGCATATTGGTTCGAATTCCTGAATTCTATGGAAAACTCTATTGAAGTTGCAACAAAACATGTTCAATTTCGTACTGTAGCTCTATGAAATCAACAACTTGCACCAAAATGTTATAATTTTACGCACTAAAGGAGATTGTTCCCTCTGAATTTAAGTTTTTATAATACAATAAATAATAATAATATGTATATTTCTCTTTTTATAGTAAAATAAATTAATTAAAATGTCTTTTTATATTCATACCAAAAAGTGTTATTTGTTAGTAAATCACAATAAAAAGTATCATTTTTACAATGATCTCACCAAAACTCTACATTAATAAATTAGTTGCACCATAATGTAACATTTATTTTAATAAATAATTCTCATGAGTATTAAAGTATAAATATTCAAATGATGATTCACCCAAATTAATCTATGCATTAATAAGTTTTTTTCCCATAGTGAGTATAGAGATTGCTTTAAGCATTGATGACTTATTTGTTTTTCTCAAATTGTGTAAAATCATTTAAGATGTAAATGAAACGTTTTGATGTGGACCTCCACATATAGAGAATGGGCCATAACATCATGTGGGGCCCTTGCATTTTGCTGGATGATTATTCTTACAAATGAGGTGTGGGCTAAGGCCATTAATGTCCACATGCTAACAGTCTTGCAATGATGAGGCCTAGGATGGTACATGACTGCCTAGAAGATGCCTGTTCACTCTGGCCTTGAAGATGTCCAGATTATAATGGTCCAGGAAAACAGACCTGGGCAAGGAGTTCCACTCCCTTAATTTACCATAATTTAATAACATGGCCAGAACCATTGCCTGTGGGCTAACTTGGCTCCTTCAGGCACTCTTACTGTTAGTCATAACAAAATGAGGCATGACTGGCAACATTTTGACAAAAAGGCTTGATTACCTTATTTGGAGTCCTTTATATATTGTACCCAGAATTCTTAAGATCAGGACATCTAAACTAAACTCTGCGGGTGTCATATCCAACTTACTTAATAGTGTCCTTAGGTTATGCTTTAAGTCACACAAAGCACCTCTGACAGCCACCAACTGATCCCAATGATGTGGTGGAGTGCCTGCATCTCCCCATTCAAGCGCTTGCCTCACTAGGCAAATCTCTTTACTGAGAGCTTCCCTTAGTCTGTAACATTACAAAATACTGTGGTAGCTTAATTAATCATATTTAATTTATACAAGAAAAAACAATAGAAAAGAAATATCAAACCTTTCACTGGTATCCTGAATAGCGACTAGTGTGACTGTCAAAAGTTGAGTAGCAGCATTAACATTAACCGTAGTGGCCTGACGGATTAAAAAATCGTGTTCTAATTTATCTTCATCCCAAGACACTTGAAATTCCTTATGAGCATCTTCACAGGAGGCTGTAGTCAACAATCCTAGCGTGACCGGCGTAAATATTCGGATTTTAGTTATAATTCTTTTCCTGTGCAAAATACTTGTAGCTTTTATTATATTAAATAATCGGTTTCTAAACATGTTTGAGGGATGAGCGATGACTAAGCTATTGAAGTTATTGTAATACTTAATTATTTATTGACTCCATGGCTTTGTGTGACTACCAAACACATTTATTTTGAATAAAATTGAAATAGATGGAAGAGGTTAGTGTTATTTTGTTTCTTTGACATTTTTGCATAAATGTCAGCATGACAAGAAGAATGACAGTGACATTTATGAAGACGTATTTTTTTCTACTACTATTTGTGGAATACCTATTTTTCTAACTATAGTTAGAAAAGTTTTGAATTTTCTTTAAACTATTCTCTTTCTTTTTCTTATCCTACTGCAAAGATTTAAATCATCCTGCTGATATTTTAGATGTGAAAGATTGTATTTTTGTTATTAAATCTACTGAACGGATTTGGATGAAATTAGGTAGTACGCTTATATGACCTGTCCCCCTAACATGAGCACCACAATTTATAAAATATCACGTTTTCATCGCATCTAACTGTCAAACTCCGTAGTAATCTGAAAATTGAGGTATATATCAAATCGTGGTGCATATGATACTAGGGCTGGATAGATTCATATATTCCCTTTATTCCGGAAAAAGGTAAGGTTCCTGTTGAAATTCTCAAAAAGTCAAAGTTAACATGTACGAAGTCGTGGGCAGCCACTAGTGTATAATAAAATGAAACATTATGATTATATTGCTCAATTTAATTTACCTAGACTAACGGGACTGCCCTAAAAACGATCAAAAACACGTCATCACGCTAACACAAAATTCTGTGATTAGAAGATTTTATAGTTATGTATAGTCTGAAGCTTAAACTCTAGGAGCTCGATGGCGCAAGTGGTTACAGCGTTCGGCTGCGTTTGTTTAAGTTAAGCCACTATCGCAGTGGTCGGTCATTGGATGGGTGACGAAAATTTTACTGCTTCGAGCTCCTTCGTGCTTCGTAAGGCACGTTAATTCCGGTTGAATCTGTAATCGTTAGCACCCTCCCATCCGCACTGGGCTCGCATGGTGGGTTATGGCTCACTCTCCCTATTCCATAATAGGGAAGGCCTGTGCCCCAGCAGTGGGGATATTAATAGGCTAATGATTTATGGATGATCCTCCCTAATATATGGTTTAACGGAGGTCCATGGACTGAGCCTTTGCTGTGGGAATTACCTTGGAATTGGATAATCCTAAGATTTATATGAACTACTAACGGCCGCACAAAGATGTCAAATTTTAATGCTGTCACTCTTTTTTCGATAACAATAGAAACAACACGTTCATATGTAGTCTTTTGCATAATTTTAATTCGCTACGTAGTTACAGACTTATCTATGTATGTATGCATATTATTACGCGGGTATATGGTCTATAAACCACCAATAATGGTATCGATTCTGGCATGATTCTCTAAAGCTAAACTTAAATTTGACAACAGTGGTGTCGATTCTAGCATGATTCTCTAAACCTAAACTTAAATTTGACAATAGTATATCCTTGTCATTCTCTATACAGACTGAAAAGGACAGACTGATGTCAAATTTTGTTTTAAGTTTAGAGAATCCTGCCAGAATCAACACCAATATAAAAGTTAGATTACTTTTTAAGTTTATATTAAATAAGAGTGCAAGATTTCGTCCACGTCGAGCAATGTAGATTGCTTTTTTCTATTATAACAGGTGGGGAGCTAAACTCATTTTATAAGAGTGTTACAGTATAATGATTATAGAACAGTAAGGTGAAAAACGCACCAGACGCGCACCGAATAGCGGTCGCGCGCGCGGCAATTATTTTGTATTTGCATATAGGTACGCCAACGCTTTGGCATCCGCGTAACCGCGCGGGTGAGTCATACAAATTAAGATCCGCGCAACTGCCGTGCGCATAGTATTACCATCAATTTTAGGGAGGAAGCCATCATATAATCCACAAAGCGCCTGATTTTTTAGAAAAAATCCTGTCAATAGTAAAAAAAACCAGTGAGCCTTACAGTAATCACGTACCTATGATGTGTAACATTTGAATCTCATATTAGTAAAAAAAAACCTACTATAAAAGGAATAAGCCATTTGAACATTATGTTCTAAAATCAAATCAAATAGCGCGCGCTTCCCAAACTTCCTGTTACTCACTTCCGCCCCACTTCACGTAATCACTCCCACAAATTGCCCGAAAGCGAGAGGAAAGATGTTACACATCAAAAATACTGTAAGCTAACTAAAGAAACTCATCGTTAGAAAACTTAACGAAGGACGTTCTAATTCATTCGTTGAACGTAAACAAAGCGTCCCGCAAATTCGCGTTATCGCGTTTTTCCATCAATGCATTTACGCTCACCACCCACCATCACGCACATGTGGCTCGCCGCCCACGCACGGAGTGTGCGTATCGTGGCTTCGAGCGCGACGGGCAAAATTCACAAATGCCTGTCTTAGCTTAACCCCGGCCGCACGCCTGTCGAAACCGTAAAATGACCTTACATCCGCCACTGTTCGTGGCTCCTGCGTTGTGGCACTTAGGGTAAAGCGATTATAGTAGAATTCGGCCATAGTGATTATAGGAAAGGGCACAGCGGATACTAATACAGGAAGGGCACAACGGTTTAAACTGTAGGGCACAGCGGATTTTAATAGAGGTAGGGCACTGCTTATCGAGGTAGGGCATAACGATTAAAGGAGTTAATAGGCATTGCGATTAGAAGAATTTTACGGCACAGAGGATCCTCATTAAGATAGGGTATATCACTTATGGGAGATCGAGAGCACAGCGATTATAGGAGAATTCGAACAGAAGGGCTTCACAGGGAGGTAGGGCAAAGCGAATTCTAACAGACGCAGGGCGTAGCGATTTAAAGGAGCGTTAATGCAAAGCAGTTATTACTTAGGTCACAGCAGATTCACAAAATGGACGGGTACAACGCAGCAAATTCTACTGGGGGTCGGGAAAAGCAGTTACAGGAGATTTGGGACACTGCGAAATCACAAAGAGTTAGGGCATAGCGATTATAAGGGGAGTTAGGGCAAAGCAATTATAAGAGGGTTAGGTATAAGACACAGCGGGATTCACATAGCGGTAGAGCACACAGCGCAGCGATTATAGGAATAAGAGTAAAGCGGATTCTAACAGAGGCAGGGCACATCGAGTCGAAGTAGAGGTAGGGCCAGCGTAGCGTGGGTGTCGGCCGCCCGGGGCGAAGGACAATTTTGCCGCCTTCTTATTTAAGTGGTTGAAATATTTTTATTATTTATTGTAAAATTTTGCTGCCCGCTAAGAAGGCAGTGGATTTTAAAATAGGACACAGCAATCATTGTTCTTGTCACAGCAATGAGGATCCCTAACGATTTTAGTTGAGAATGCAGATTTATAGAGCTAAGGATTCCATAAAATAGCTTAAATTTTTGTTCTACGACGAATATTGACGAAGTTATGACCAAATTACTAAACGATTTTTTTTTCAGCTGACTACGTGGTGGCTGTGACGTCACAGAGCTCTAGCTCTCTGTCGCGAGCGTGCATAGAGACGCTACTGAAGTTCGACCGGAGTGAACCACGATTAAGCTCTGTGACGTCACACGTTTCGGCCGCCCGTGAATATTAGCTACCATAAAATTAGTTATAAAATCGCAACGAATGAACCGATTTTGATGATTTAAAAAGTATTTAATGAGCTTATTAGATCATTATACTGATTTTGAGTTGATTGGCTGACCCGAGTAATGATCCTCATTATAGGGAAGTCAGGGCACAGCGGATTCTGATCGAGGTAGGTGTTCTGGTGGAGCACAGCTATTATGAGTTAAGGCAAAATGGATTATAATAAAAGAGAATAGACTTTATAGGAGACTTGGAGCATAGTGGCTTCTAACAGAAGTAAGACCATAGCATACTAAAATCGATCAGTGAACGAATGACGATCTCCGTGGCCGAATGGTTTGTACGCCGAGTTTCATGGTGTCACCGACTCGAGAGGTCCCGGGTTCAAATGCCGGTGGGGGCAGATGTTTGTGTGATGAATACGAGCATTTGTACTCCAGTCATGGATGTTTAATAATGTCGGTGATATTCTGAAACCGCGGAACTAACAGTGTTTAAAACCGCGTAAGGTAGCTGCAGTGAATTTTACAGGAACGAAGAAAAACATAATATTTACTGAATCACTTGACTTTCTATTGTTTAAACATTTAAATTGTCAAATTATAATATTCTTCTTGGTATTGTAGGCATTAGTTATGTTAAATATGTATTAATTAATTAGTAAATCGACTTTCGCGGTTTTATTATCTCAAATAAAATCAAAATGAGTTTTTTTATGTCACTTAAGCGGAATTGTCCGCCGAAATAAAACAAAAGAATACAATCAACATCCTATAATTATTTATTAAGTCAACTTCAGAGTTTAATTTTTGGCACATATTTATCACCGGTACATTAGGTAATCAACAATATACAGGAAATTAACACCATAAATCCCCATAATGTTAAAAAAATAGCTCTTTATAGCTAAGTGTGTTAAACATACCTTGTTGAGAGGGTACTTACTAATTAACAGTTAAAACTAAAAATGAAGAACAAAACGTATATAAATATTACTTCAGAGTAGAATAACAATTGCACATTGAGGTCTTTGTTAAAAATGAGATCAATAAAACATTACTTTTTCTTAAATGGCAAATTATCGTAAAATAAGTGTCAATCTGCAGGTATCACACTCTTTAATTGCTGTAAGTGCTGATACTTACTGTCTAATATAGGCAGTCTAGATGAATACAGGGGAGGTACATTATAACTACAGCTGAAATAGGTTTTGGTCTCCGAGGAAGTGGGCTGAAATCATCTTTAAAGTGTTTTTTAAACTCTATTGTGCCGTTAGGATTATACTTTAAAACCCTCAGATCCACTACGCAATCATCTCCAGCAGAACGCCCAGGACGAATGGAATCATAAATTTGGTATTCTTTTAGACTGTAGTCTTTAAAAAAGGTGTAATCTGGTTGAAAAACCTGGTATGGAGAAGGATGCTTCCTGGCTTCTTTTGTAATTGAGGCATACTGAGAAGAAAGAAAAATTTCAACATTTTTCAGCTTTCTTTCCACTACGGAGTGTACGGAGGCAACCTCCATTTGAGTGTGACCTTTTTCCAGATACTTTTCTGTAATTGTTGTATTTTTGTCTACTGCTAATCTTATAAGGGCATTAGAAACTATTGAGTTTCTGTTCTGTGCAGTGCAGCCATCCGTCCAGATGACAACATCCCTGCAATCTTCTTCTAATAACTTAGTCAAATAATCAATGAAAAATGATGCGTAAGTGGTAGCTCTTAAATCACAGGCGGTTTCGTCGAACCAGTAGCAAGTTACATGCATACGCGGTTTGGGCACAATAAACAATCACCTGACGTTACGCGGATTAAAAGACATTCGATTCCACGGCTTCCTATTGGATAATAGGCCCAACCATCATCACAGAACGCAGCCAATCACTACAACGAAGCTAAGCCCGCGAAATCTCGATTTTGCTAGTTTTGTAAATACGCGGTTTTAAACACTGTTAGTTCCGCGGTTTCAGAATATCACCGACGAATGTATTTTCTATATAAATATACTTATATATGTACTGTATATGTATTCTACCCGTTACTCTAGTATCCAATAACACAAACCTTACAGTGCTTACTTTGGGGCTAGGCTAATTGGTGTGCGTGTTGAAATTAATTTCTTTTTTTTTTTTACCTCTGCTCTCATTACCTACAAACGGCTAGACACGATAGTAATCGTTTACAATACGGCGGGTTTAGGTTAGGCGAACTGGATGCCAGGAAGACAAGCACCATTAGGTTTTGTTACACTAAGGCCAAACAACAAAATGATAATATTGGTATTCTGGTACTGCATTGACTAAAGATGCCGGAGTTCCTGGGGGATAGAGAGACCATGGCTAGATCGGCACGTTTCTCGGGCGTAACAATAGTCTTTGCCGCCACATTATATTTACACTTATCATCACCAAATTGATAGGCTTTAACTTTAGCAGTTAAAGTGGCGCTATTAAATGTTTGGTGTGTTCGGAAATAATGGTGTCGATTCTGACATGATTCTCTAAACCTAAACTTTAATTTGACAACAGTGAATCCTTGTCATTCTCTATACGGAATGAAAAGGAGAGACTCGGGTTAAATTTAGTTTTAAATTTAGAGATCATGCCAGAATCGACACCAATAATAATATTCTTTATTGCACACAACAAAGGACACAAACAAGACATAAACAATTAAAATTGAAGAAAGAGTACCTACACAATAGGCGGCCTTATTGCTAAACAGCAATCTCTTCCAGGTAACCTATGGGAGAAAAGGAATAGAGAAATATTTGAAACATCAACAATGTTTATTTTGTGTATGAAAAGAATAACCAAAATGAAATGTCTTTCCCCTAGACCGTGGAACTCCCGTCAACTTTGCAAGCAAAGACGCAACACTACAGTAAGTATAGTGTTATTTACTGCAGTTTTTGTAAATATAAAAGCTCCTTCACTTTATATCCTATTTAAATGCAAATAAATAAATTTAATTCTCTTTACTTTATAAAAATCATGTTATAAAAATCTCAAATGCAGTTTAAATTCATAAGTTAAATTTATTGCACAAATATTTAAATATCAAAACTTAATAACTTTGACTTACTAAGCAAAAACTTTCTTTTAATCCCAACTAATGTTCTCATTAACGGTTCTCATCTATTGACAAATTCAAATTTTTGAGAATAATCTTTTCGTGGTACTGATGATGAGTTTATGTTGAAATTTAAGACAGCCACTCTACGATCTGCGGCAGCTATTAGCTTTGTCGAGTCGAAATCTAGACTATAAATTGGTGATGATTGCTTTTGCGTAAAGTACATCTGAAAGAAACAAGAAAATTATAAAGATACGGTCGAGCCAACTAATTTCTGACCCACTTGTTCGATAATTCGCTTAAAAATCAAAACAGACAAGTTTCCCTTGTAAAAACGCTTAGTTGCACTTAGGACCTTCTATTAACAAGGAAACTATATACCTATATCACGGTAATATTATCTATACAGTATTGTGACTCCGCCCTGTCCTTGAAAATAAATACCTACGGCCGAGCGCTGCGTTAGCACGCGGTAGGGCCGCCCGCCTACAGTATTTTATGTAGTTTTGTTTTTAACGCGAGTGTAGGTAGATTACTCGTTTGTCTCTTTTTTTATCCTAACCACTTATTTACATATTATTCCAGATATTTTGCCCGATGGAAAAACCGAAATACCTAAATATTAGAAACAAATTACGTACTAGTAGATAGGTATATAAAAATATTCTATAAAGGTAAGACACCTTTCCAATATTTCAGGTAATTTAAAAAATGATATCTCTGCGTTATTGAAGAGTTCAAGCAACCAAAAACAGCAATTGTGCTGTAGTACGATATTGATCGTCGTTTGTTCTTTTCCATACTAAATTATGTAGGTATCTACTTGATTAAAACAAATATTTACAATACAAAACGCACGTTTAAGCACGGCTAACTGCATAAAAAACAATTCAGACCGTTCGGTCGTCGTTGCGGCGCGGCGGCGCATGCGCGACTTGGTGCCCGCCGAGAGCACATCGAACTCGAGTGGTGTAGGTATGACTCGCTTTCCGACCGTTTGTATGAAGATAGAATACTGTATGATATCATTACCGTGCCTATATGAATCGAAGATATTTGAAATTTGACCTTTATTTTTAATCCTTAATAGATCATGTTTTTGTTCAATGTTTTGATTAATCTTAAAATGTTGAGGGGCAAATGCCTCATGATAGGAAGCAAATGGGAAGTAATTCCCTTTGTCCCTTTTTTGGTTTTTAAATAAAAATAAGATAACGATATTAGCTTGCGCAGACTTGGGACTTTTGTCCGCCGTAATAGACCACTTACAACTGCACCGAGTAACGCACACGACGGATTAAAAATACCTTTGCGCGCAAAAAGTCCCTCGAACTACTGCGGACATCGAGGGACCGGACAGGAGAAAAGTACGCGAGTCCTCGAAAAATTAGAACATACGTGACATCTACGCACACAGTGGACTTTAATCAGCGATGCCCGCTCGATAGTGTGTTCGTGGTAAAGAAATGGAAAAAAGAAATCCTTAAAGTTAAGATACATCAAAAAAAGAGTATCACGACCGATAAATATTTGTCGAAGGAATTCTTTAGCGTCTATAAATTTCTTCGTTAGAAATGCAAAATTTGTATGTGTATGTATTTATTTATTATAGAGGTAGTGGGACTTACATATGTGACCAATTGTTACAAGGACGGTGGCAGGGTAAAAAATCACGAAATTAGTGTGACATACTTTATGGATGATCCCTTATCTCAGAATATTGCTTCCATAGCGTGCGCCTCACTAAATTTTCGGGGGATAAATGTCCGCACACCGTGTGCGTTGAATCTGTAAAAAGTCCTCGGCGGACAAAAGTCCATTGTCTGCGCAAGCCATAAAAGTTAAATTCTTGCTATGCTTTATTTCTTGTTCTGAGCGACCAACTTACTTGTTTATGACATGCGTCAGATCGAATGTCAAACAATACACAGCGTGAATATTCAGCGGTGCCTACGATTATAGCGCGGTCACCATCGGACTTCACACAATACAATGTTGATTGAAATGGATCCATTACATCATATATCTGTAAATAAAAAATATATGCAGGATGTCTCTGGATGGATATCTGATAACCTATGAGAAAGGCGGAGAGAACATATTTTATCAGACGACAGCAACAGTGTGTTAAGCTTTATTCAACTGGGACGACATATAAGTAAAATCTCTAAAAGCTAGAAACGTACTGAGCCTCTTGGAAGCTGTCGGGATAGAAGAGATGCGAGTTACAATAGATCTTTTAGGTCGCAGTGACTACAGTTCCATAAGGACTGCATATCCCCAAATATCCAAAATACATAATTATTTTAGGCTAGCACAAAAGTTTAAAATTCTGCAATGGATTTAAACTTTGATAATAGTCATTAACATTCAAATGGATAGGGTTTTTTGAAGTTATACTTCTTTAGGCGCGTTATGAAAAATGATGAGTGAAATTTTTAGATGCGCGCGCATCACTGTAACCCAAAAGTAAGTTGGCCGCGGGCGCGTTATGAAAAAATCATGTGAGTGAAATTTCGAGATGCGAGCGCATCACTGTAACACAATAGTAACACCATGAAGTTGGCCGCGGGCGCGTTATGAATGTTAGTGTAGTAGTGGTAGTACATCTGTTCAGAGGCGGCCTTACCGATTGCGAGGCTCCGGGCGGCAGGTCTTTGCGAGGCCCTTTGTCCTTCGTGAAAAGTATGTGATGCGAAAGTAGGTCTGGTTGTTTGGTTTAGGTATTTGTCATGTTTAAGGAAAAATGCTTAAATTATACAAATAAATCAAATTTGAATTTTAAAATATTTTACATTGAAAGATTCACAAAATTAACAAATACAGAGATGATAAATTTTAAAATTGATGTTTGCGGATTTTCCTAAGACTAAAATCTTTAATTAAAGCACAATAATCTAGCGAATAAGCTACGTCATTTTCGATAGAAAGAATAGCGAGGGCTGAAAGCCGATCTTGTGTCATTGAATTTTTTTTTTTTTTTTTATATTTTTAAAATTTGCTTGGGTTGTTGCGCGAGGCCCCTGTAGGAGCGAGGCCCCGGGCGATTGCCCTGTTCGCCACCCCCTAAGACCGCCACTGCATCTGTTCAAAAGGTACTTTGAACGATCCACGGAGCTCCATAAGATGATCGCGTTGTCAAAAACAATGTTGGCACGCTCGTCGCCTCTGATCACTGTTTTCATATTTATAATATTTATCCACATGTTTCTAGTTTCTATATAGACACAACGTGTTTTAGATACTTACAAGTGCTAATTACATATGGACTAATAACTTAAATTCAGTAGTGATTTTAATTGAATATTTTGAATATTTATTTAATTTTTCAAATTAAAACTGAACTTAATTGACTGTGTTAGCTATCCTTTTCCAGTCCTTTTATTATTGAAGTTATACTTCTTTAGGCGCGTTATGAAAAAATGATGAGAGTGCAATTTTAAGATGCGCGCGCATCACTGTAACACAAAATTTTAACAGCATGAAGTCGGTCGCTTTAGCCAACCTTAGACCAACTTCATGCGTTACTTTTGTGTTTACCGCACATTAAGAAAATCTACCAACAAAATAGAAATAGAATCTCTATTTAGTGGGTGCTAACGACTGCATTGTGAAGGCCTATCAAAAGTATTTATTAATCTGGAACAACGGAACCAAAGCGCGATTCAGGAGACTACAGCGCCATCTCTTGACCATTGGTGTAGTAGAACCAAAAAACACATCTTTATTTTTTGTAATAAAGTAACAGTTATAGGTATTCATATTTATCATATCAAAAGTATTTATTAATCTGGAACAACGGAACCAAAGCGCGATTCAGGAGACTACAGCGCCATCTCTTGACCATTGGTGTAGTAGAACCAAAATGCAATTAAAAACTAATTTTAAACTATGCCAAAGAAGGATAACTTCTCACGCGCCTACATAAGTACACGCACCCATTTTTTTTTATTGTAATTATTAATTATTTGCATGCAATTAAAAAATATATTTTTAATGATGCTAAAGAAGTATAACTTCTCACGCGCATACATAAATTACACGCATCCATTTTTTTTTAGTCGGAAGAGGTACTGTGCTTATTTTTTTTATATTCAAGAATTTCTCAAAAACTTTCGTGTGTTTTTAGTACTTTCGCGACGTTAACTGTGCTTTCGTAACAACAACAACTCGTAATTATACATTCTTTTTTTTATTGAAGTTATACTTCTTTAGCCACGTTATGAAAAAATTATGAGAGTGAAATTTTAAGATGCGCGCGCAACACTGTAACAGAAAAGTAACACCATGAAGTCGGCCGCTAAACCGCACATTACTCGTAAGTCTCGAAAAAAAGCTTCCAACAAAATAGTAATAGGATCTCTTAGTCGCACATGTTGGGACGCTCGTCGCCTCTGATCACTGTTTTCATATTTATAATATTTATCCACATGTTTCTAGTTTCTATATTCTTAACACGTGTTATAATGTTATACAAATGCGAAATTTATATGTGCTAATAAATTTTATTCAGTAGTGATTTAAATTGAATATTTTGATTATTTATTAAATTTTTCAAATTAAAACTGAACTTTATTGACTGCGTTGACTATCCTTTTCCAATCCTTTTATTATCTTATTGTAATTAATTATCTGCATGCAATTAAAAACTATTTTTTAATAATTCCAAAAAGAAGTATAACTTCTCACGCGCGTACTTAAGTACACGCACCCATATTTTTTTTTTCATTACTTATATTAATTATACATTCGTTTATTATGCGATACTCACACAAATGTAATTGTCGCAAGTAATAACTTGCCAAAAGGTGTTTAAATTTAATTGTGACGGGCGCTAGGTGAAAGTCTCAGTTAATTTTGATAAGTAGGATTATCTTGTCAAAATTTTTTGATGCTGTTATGGTGATTAGGCGTACCCTACCAGCTTACAGACGAGACTAAGGCCCGTAAAGATTCACAGTGATTGATCTAGTCTTGAGCATAGTTGGAAAGGGATGTCGCTATATATAGCACATCCCGTTGTAACTGTACCCAAGTAAAGATCAACACTTAGTTTTCATTCTGTTATACGGGCCTTAGTGATATAACACTGACTTTTGGCGCTGTTGTTTTTCAGTGAGTAAGGTTTCCATAATCCCATGGGGCAGGTAGTGGGTAGCTTTCAGGCAGGGTGAGGATAGCCAAAAAGGGACGGTTTTTAGCCGCATCAACAATCTTCACCACCGTACATCACTCACACATGACATAATTACAAAAAATAAACGTAAAAACAATACATACCACTTTATCTGTCCTTATATCAGTTAGTTGCATTTTACCAGAGTGTGTTACATACAATATTGTATTTTCATCGTGCCATCTGATGTCACGAATAGTCTGTCTAGTATTCATGCCAATATCAGCTGTTAACAGTAATTGTCCACTGCAAAAAAACTTGTATTATGAACATCACATATACAGTTAATTTGGTTAATGTTGTTATTAAAATGAAACTTTTATTATATTATCACGTCCTTCATCTTTAAGCTAAACTCGAAGCGCGCGACGCGACGCGCTTCACCTGTAGAAAATTCATCTCTGTTATCCCACTATTAAGATATTCCCACTTATACGACGCGCGATTTCTTAATACCAAGTTTCATGTTTTTCGTCTGAAGCAAATTCAAGTCTATCTTCCCACTGTTAAGGTATTCCCAAGGCGAAAAACATGACTCGACTTTGACTCTGGGACAGTGTGAGTTGAGCGCTAGCATATCACACTACATGTTTAATTGTTATTGAAAAATTCAGACCTTGTCCAACAAGCATCGGTGATTCAGTGGTTGAAATCTCGCTTGCTAAGCGGGCTGTGAATTTCGATTCACAGACGGGAAAGGATTTTTTTTATTAATGATTTTAAAAGTTTTGCTTGCATTGGAGTTTCTTAAAACCACAAGAATTTTCAGTATTATAAATTATGGTATAAAACTGGGTCTTTTAAAAAAGAAGTTCACCTACGTATTCATATCAAGCAAAAGTGGCTTACTGTTTCCATTAAGACCAATGGCCAACTTTTCTTTAGAGTTATCCATATTTAAACACCTTATGCCAACTTCGTGTGAAAGCTTAATATCGCGAGCACCTGAATCAACACATATATATTTATTAAAACGTCATTAATAATAATGATAAACAAATAATTATTTCCAACACTCACACCAATTACCTAGCCACAAAGTAAGCATTGTTGGTTTGTATTATGATATACATATACTGATACATATTTATGTTTATTTATATAGAAATACATATTAAATGATATGAATATTATTAAAATTATTGTTTTTGATATTTTGATGTTTTCATTTTCTGGCGGTTTTCTAAACCACATTTGTGAGATTTTTTTTTATTGTTCTGTACCAAAAGGGTAAATATGGAAACCTTTTGCTGTTACTCTGTCATTATCTGTCTGTTCGTATGTCCGAATTTTATGTAGCTCCTTAATCATAACTTGAGATATTGGATAATTTGGGAAGCTGTGATAAAAAATGGCTTTACAATTAACTTGTATTTAAAAAACATTTTTTTCAGAAGTCTGATTAAGACATGCAAGTTATGTATAACTATAATTTATCAAATTGGTTTCCCATACAATGTTCCACTCCAATTTTTCACACTTTTCAGAAAGTTATTTTTAGGATAAAAACTATCCTGTGTCCTTTCCCAAAACTCAAACTGTCACTACATCAAATTTCATCTAAATCAGTTCTGCGTTTAAAGCGTGAAACATAACAGACAGACCAACATGCTGTCGCATTTATAATATTAGTATGGATGGATTTGAAAATTTTCATGTTTGTTACTCAATCAAGGCAGAACTACTGAACAGATTTGAATGAAATTTGGTATGCATATAGTTTATGACCTGGAAGGAGACATAGGATTCTTCTTAACCCCGGAAAGGCATTAGGTTCCTGTGGGATTCCTAAAAAACTTAAGTTAATCTCATAACAATAATACAAGCAATACTTACGAGGGCATGAATAAACTCTTGAATCATTTTCGTCTACTTCACAGTACCAGAAACGTAGGATAGCACTGTATATTGACCCAGTTAAAATACAATGCTTTTTAGAATCGGTAATCAATTCAACAGCTGACACTTCTACCATGCCATTTTCATTGCAATCTTCGATATGGCACATTAAAACTGGCTTATGCCTTATATCGTCAAATGTATAAACAGCAGCACTTCCATCTCTTAAACAAAACACATACAACATAATATATTTTTTCTTTTTTAAAGACACCAATTATAAGTCGCGGCACGAAACTCTAGCGCTGACCGTTAGTGTGCAGAAGTAAAAATTAAGATGTCTTGGGGGGAATCAGGGTGCGAGAATGGGCGTGCGTTGCGCCGATTGGCTCTCCAGTCGTTAGAGTTACGTGCCGCGATCTGTAGCCTAGCCCCTTGTATCATGGGATACTAGGGTAACGGATAGGATACATATACTGATACATACATATTTATAGAACTACATATTACACATCTGACTGTGCTCACAAATGCTCGTATTCATCAGACAAACATCTGCCCCACCGGGGTTCGAACCCGGGACCTCTCGAGTAGGCGACACCTTGAAACCGGCATACAAACCACTCAGCTATGGAGATCATTGAAAATTATCAATTAAATATTGAAATTAATCATTGGCAGAAATTTTCATAAACAACTATTTTTAGTATGTAGTTAAGTAACTTTTTGAAACTAAGCATTTTCAAGGGATGTGAGGGGTAGATGATTAGATGTGCGTGCCCTCCGAGGGGCCACAGTGGAAAACGTAGGTTTCTTATACATAAAGATTTAGCAGGATCTTTAATTAAAATTGTAGCCAGGATAAAGCAGCTGTTGTATGTCGAACACTACGACTCACGAAATGTGGGGTCTCAGATGAAACGCCTCAATTTTCATATTACTGTATCTGACTAATTTAAATAATTTTGATGAATGTTATGATTAGGAGGTAATTTGTAGCACTACATACTAAAGTTTGTGCTCTGTTGAGTGACTACAAATAAAGAAAAACCAATCACTTCGTGGGCCATCAGTTCCTAAGTGTTCAAAATTTACTCTACTGCTACAAATTTTTAGTTTAAGCTAAGTTTCTTTGGCAAGCTTTGATTGTTTGCTTCTGATGATTGTAATAACAAATTTGATGCGATTAACGTTGATTGTGATTTTCTTGATCTTAATCTGTCTTTGCACCATTAAGATGAGAATTTACGTTACAAGGATTTATTTACAAAATGCTGGTTCTGTCTCTAAATACATGCCGTTAATGTTTTTATGAGTAAAATAAAGTGATATCAATTTTTTAAATATTGTATCTTTATTTTTTATGTATACTAAACCTATGTTTTCCACTGTGGCCCATCAGAGGGCACGCACATGATTATTAGAGATGCACCGAAATTCAGCAGGACCCATATTCAGTGCAACGCTATAGATTATAATGCCTACCCTGCACATAAGACACATATGATGTGTTGATCCAAATCTTCGGTGAGAGCAAAGTAGATGAGGATTTATAAAACAACAATAAAAAATGGAATGGACTTTTTTGGGCAGCAGATTGAAATATAATGTTATATTAAAAACATACCTGTTTCCACAAACTATTATATTATCACTTATAATAAATCTAGACACATCATTGGTGCGTATGTCATTTCTCTCTACTTTAGGTACTTCTAATTTCCATAGTGCCTCTTTACAAATTGGATAACTTTTTCTGTCAGTGGGAAAACACTTGAGCTCAGACCCCACAGATAGCAGTAATGCCTCGGAATTGTAAAATATTAACCAAGGCATATAATTTATTTGATGGTGTATAATTGGCTGGAAATAAAAAATAAAATACTTTTAATATTAATTATTTCACATTGCTTACTAGCTGCTGCTGCTGCTTGACTAGGGGTCAGAAACCAAGTAAGTTTTTTTTCATCCATACCTAAAGTATTAAAGATTAAGGTACTTAATTCCATTATATGTAATTGAATTTCGGGGTAATTTGTAGGGGAGGGGGACGGGGGGCTCCCCCCGACCCCCCCGCCATAAAAGATTTTTGGCGGAAATGCAGTTTTTTTTTTACCTAACCTAAAAATTCATTAAATCTGTTAAATGTAGTGGAATTTCAGGGGGATAGGTATTAGGGAAGACCCCTCAGAGAGAAGGGTAACGCCCCCCCCCCCCCCCCCCCTCCCGGCGTTATTTTAAAAGAAATGATAATTATAAAAAATTCGAGGGGTTTTAAAGGTAAAACTGTACTTCCAGGGCCTAGAGGTGATATTTGATTTTTTTGTAGAAAAAGTCTCTATTAACGAATTTTTCTTTCTGGCGCTTCGCCGGCCGCTGCCGCGGCACGCTCGCTTCGCTCGCTCGGCTCGCGCATTAAGGTCACAACACTAACCTAACCTAACCTAGTGTGAAGTATCACCACACAAGCGGCTCATTAGAGTCCAAAACTCGCACTACACTCGACTCTTCAGGCGAAGGGACAGCAGAACTCGAGGCCGGAGGCTTTCAGGATGCCATGGTAGTCAGACGATGATAATATCAACAGGAGTACGAAAAAGCTCTCAACTGCGACGAACACAAACACTGACTGACAGATCTCATTAATGGCGGTAAATTGTCACATTTTGACAATAGTACCAACATAATAAACTTATATTTACCATAGACAACGAGAAACATGTTATTTTTGCATAAAAAAATGGCAGCACTGATCAAAATTGCTGTCAAAATTGACTCATAACCTACAAAAATATTAATTTTCAATAATTTTTTTCTCGAGATCCATTCGTTTCCGCCTAAAAAGATTTCGTGTACGTGTTTTTAATAGTTAATACTTTGCGTGACAAAATTTTCAGCTTGCAACTCAATTACATATAATGGAAAGCTGAGCCAAGATTAATATTGTATGGTAAACTGCTACTTCGATAAATACAAAAAAGGAATTCTTTATTTACTTTTATTATACCTACCTTACTTTTATATATTCCTGAACACCAATTTTTTGAAATACGATATTGATTGTAACTAGAAAATGTATTGGGTTTTCTGAAAACAAACATGATTTGTTAACTTAAAAAATAACATGATGAATTTTTAAATTCCATTATTACATTTAGATTACTTGACCATACCGCTACAGACCTGTTATCTGAACAACTACGAACCATCATTCTATCCCTACAAATAGTCTTCCATAAATTATTATTATGCAAAATTAACTCCAATAACAATTTACAGGTCAGCATTACATTTTTTATGTCTGTTAAATTAAGATTTTTTAAAATGTGTACCAAGATTTCAGGGGGTAACTGTTTAAATTGTATGGCGGACATTACTTTTTTTTTAGACATTATTGTTTAATTAGTTAAAAAATATATTTTCCTTTGTAACAAGTCCCGAAATACTTATTTCAGGGCCCTGACAGCTTTAGTTCCATTTTCTTAGTTTTGGCGCTAGCGTCGCTGATATTTTTTTATAGCCTGTGGTTTAACCTGTCGCCATGTTGTCACTATTGATAGTTTGACAGACAATTCAAAGTTTCAAACTGCCATCCATCATTGTCAACATATATAGTGATCTGTGGTTTATTTTGAAAGTAACTCCACTCCATTGAATTTTTAACATTTAGCGCTTATGCTTATCAGCCACAGAACATTATTACTTAGCAAGAGCGCAAATCAAAATGAACGAACACATACGTATTTTTTTAAATATATGTATAGGAAGGTAAAGGATACTGAATGTAGTCAGTGGTGTCAGTCAATTTTGGCGTTATTCTCTAAACTTAAAGCTAAATCATTGAAGAAATGACAGGGTACACTGTTGTCAAATTGAATTTTTAGGTTTAGAGAATCAAGAACTATAATCCGTAATGTGTGATACTGAGGTCTGTATAAGGAAGTTGTTTAGATGTCGTAGGATGATTCGATAAATCGAATTTTCACCAAAGTCCAAGGGATTTTGTGAACATGCGGAAAATTATACTCTGATTTTAAATTGGACGGAATTCTGATATTTCAGTAGTGTCGCCAATGATAAAACAGTCCTGTATTAACTGTAACTTGGTAACTGCGAAACAGTTCTAGGGGAAATTCTTGGGGAATTTAAAATTTGAAATAAAGATGAATTCATGATCAATAACTGAGACTTTTACATTGACTGATACTATAAAACTGATAATCAATTCTTTACTATCACTTTATTGCGTATCGTTTTGTCAACACAGGGAACTACACTTATCTGTCGTGTTGTGCTGTGATTGTGACGCATTAAAGGGCTATCTGTTTCATACATTTAGTATGGTTAGAGTAAGAACGGCGTCGTCACATCGCAACACACATGTATAATTCTAACCGTACCTATTAAATTTAAGAAACCGATCACGTCACAATGTTCAAAACACAACTTGACAGATCTGTGTGTACAAATCCGCATCGTCATGCAGATTTAGCTGCACATACGTATAATGCGATTCAACTAACAATAGGATCGACTGGGCGCCATATTTTTACGTCATAGCTGTCAATTCAAACCAAATAGGTAGAGTGAGCAAAAAAATTTTGCTATTCAATAAAACTTATTTACTAAGATTAAGTGAGACCAAACATCAGGTTTTTAATAAAATTAATTTACTAAGGTTGAGAAAGAACACAACCGATTTTTAATAGTATATCTTTATTAAGACTGTGTGAAAAAAAACATTAATTAGAATATAGCTCTTCAATTTCGCTCATCTTTGTATTACCGCCGGAGAAGTTATGAATAATCATGCAGGTCACATACGAACATGCATCCTATATGTAAACGAAAGTTTTAAATCGAGTTTCTAAACGCAGCATAGCCAATACTCAATAAGTGAAAAAAAAAACAAATAATATTAATTATCAACATTTGTTATTGTTTGTTTAAAAATGTTTGGATTTTATTCTAGAATCAGCTGAGTGCTAAAAAAGTGTTTGAGATTTTTTTGCAAACCGTACTTTTCAAGCGACATTTGATAGATGGAGGTTTGGCTTTGGCATTGGCTTTCCTATTCTTATTTGAATCGCATTATACGGGACTGCATTTCGCAACAGCAACAGCTTGCAGTAGTGATAGTATAGTCACAAAATAGACATAACAGAAGGTAATCTCATTTATGAACCTACTTCTCATTACATACCTACGTTCGGTAATCGCCCTAGGATTGTTAACATCGCAGTTGTTTGATTTACTGTCAAGAATGAAACAGAAACAATGGAAATATAAACCAATAATTACTCAAATATTTCAATTTTAAGGTTGTTGTTATATTATTAAAAAAAATACAATTTACCGCTTAATGTTGAATTCAAACAACCGTCACCATGTTAACTTGTTTTCTTGCTATCTTATAGGATTGTCGTAAAATAGGATATATCTTTTTCACACTCTGTCAGTATTTAAATACTAAGTCTGTGGTCTATGCGAGTGTGGATTGGAACGCAACCAAAACGCAACTCGGAGTCCCGGACGAGCGCTGTCATATTCAAATTTGAAATCGTCAGTGTAATATGTCAAATTGTTGTCATTAAGTACTTCAAATGAAACAATCAAGTGTCCTGTTTCTTTTGTAAGGAATAAATTAGATCGTTATTTTACTAGCGTTCTTAGTGGAGATTTTATCCTGAAAATTAACATAATAAACGATATGAGATATTCATAAATCTTAGGCTGATCATAAGCTTTTTTGTGCAAAGTAAAGCAGGTTGATTACCAACCAACGCACTAGTAGGCAAATCTCGACCCCAGATAATTTTTATGGATTTATTCAAACAGGGTAAGGACGTTTTGTAATTTCATACAGTGAGGGAAAAGACACTTATTATATGTAGAATTGGGTGCATGCAAACCTGTTATAGAAACGATCGGTCCATTAACACGTAGAAAAAATGTTGTTATTACTGCGAATGAAGTGTGAACCCAGTCAAGGCCGCATATCGCAGTGCCTGGCACAAAGTGATACTGCCTATTCCGCGCAGCGCAGCAGTCTAGTGACGGATCGGCACGGTTGATGTAAATGGGTGGATAAGTTATCAAAATAGCGATTTTAAATGGCGTAGTATTCTTCTTATTTTGCCACCCACAAAACTGATTGGCATGGCCATTCACCTAGCCAGTTATATGTTATTCGGACGTTGTGTAGTGATGTGAATGATTGTTTTCCGTGTTCCGTTAATTCAATGAAATTGCATAAATAGCAAATAAATACTAGCATTGAGTGATCAAATTGTATTAATCTTATTAAAAAATTAGTGTCTACATCAAGATTTACAACAGGATTTTTTATTTTTCTTAATAGAGTGAGTCATTCATAACAGCAAGTACATCCTAGTTTTTGTAACTAAATAACATTTTAAAGTTTTTTTCTTGCCAAGTCCTGTATGAATAATGTGTATCTCTATAGTTTTCCTGAATCTCATTATTTTGAATTTTTGAGATCTTTTTAATTTCAATAAAGCTTATTTGTCTTCAGATATGAAGGGTCCTACAAGGCCTGCACCAACTGTGCCTCAGTTGAGGGTCAATCGATACTCCCCTGTGACTAATTGGAATGATGACCCGTTTGGTGATGTATTCGAACCTACACCACAATATCAGAAAAAAGTGCCTCCACCACGTCCTCCTCCACCGAGAGTTAAACATCCACAAGTTCCTGCAAAGCCATCACATTTCATAAGGAAACCAACTGTACTCACTTCCTTATTGTCACGCAAAAAAGCTGCAGCAAATAATTCAAATAACAGCAATACCATCAACCGACAAACACCATTAAATGAGTTTGGTTTTGAGGTAGATGCAAATAGAGTGTTTCCTAAATGTGAGCCAAAAAATATACAAACTGGAACACTTATAGACTTCTCGTCCCCACCAAGTTCTCCAACATTTACAACCAGATCAAGCAGTGATGGTCTTAGTGTAGACAGTTTTGGGTCAGATGCTACATCATCAACAAATCACCCCAATGCCAATAATGGTGGGAATGCATCACAAGGTGAAAGTGGCTTTGAAGATGATTTTGATTTATTTTTAAATTCTAGAAAAACAATTGCCAAAGAGGATACTTTAGAAGACTTCACTGCTGTCGATCCTTTTTCACCACAGCCACCAATCATAGTTAAGCCACCAATAATGCAGAAACCTGTGTTTAATAAGGATTTATATGAAGCAAAAGTGACTAGCAAACATACTTCTGCTGTAGCTAATGTGAAGGGGCCAACGATAATAAGAGCCAAACCAGCTAGGCCAAAGCCACCAGACAACTCTGCTTTATTAAAGAATACATTTAGTAACAGTTTCTCTTCTACACTCATGAATGTCAACACTACTGCCCCAATACAAAAAATAGGAGATGGCTTTGGAGATAACTTTGTAAGTAAACATTTTTTTTACATTTAGCGCAGTTATGCTTTAACCTTGGATACAATTAGAGTATTGTACCATTTGCGTAATTGCCACTAATTGCGACACTTTCAAATAGCTGTTAGCATTAATAAAGTTTTATTCATATGCATTATATCACTCATAACTTCAACTTAAACTTTATACTGTTGTGGGTTGTTTTAATTTCAAACTTAATTAATCCTTTTGTGATGTAGCTTTAATATGTTTTTGTAATTAAAAGATATGATATATATATATACCTTAAAATATAATACATATCCTGAACAATTCACACTAAATAATAAACCTAACCTGGGTTATTAACTGAATCAGCTGTTGTTTAGTTGTCACTTGGTTTCCAATTTATTATAAACATGAAGTAGTAGGTATTTTTAACAAATTAAATTTAGTCAGTACACCTATCAAATTAGGTGTCCTAATGCTATAAACAAGTATTTCACAATAAATTATTAAAAATTAAAGTAATTTCAATTTATCAATTACACACACACATGCACGGTAACCTCGTCTTATCAAGGTCTCTTACATAAGTTTTGTTAGTTTTCTATTAAATGTTGTGAGTTATTATTTGTCCTTTGTGTTGTGGTATTTAAGGTAATAATTTAGCTGTTCATATTGGCTTGTGTGGCCTGATTATTTTTGTAATACATTAAGCCTTTACATATCGAGATTCTGATGTCTTTTTTTTCCATGGTGTAATTTACAAAACAGAACTGAGATTTTCTATTGAGAATTATTAAGTGTAACTAACTTCTGCTAGCAATCGCCTGGGAGTAAGAAGTCACTTGCATTATTTATCTTTCCTTTTATTATCTTTCTCTTTATATAAATATTTTTGTATTCTTTTGTGTGTGTGCAATAAAGAATTTATTTATCTTTCTCCTAATTGCATATGTATCCATTCTGCTGCCCCAGAGGCTTGGAAAAGCCAATTACAGCAAAGTGTTTAAGTAATAAACAGCCCGCCGCAATATCTTTATTGTGAGAGCATAAAGCAAAATTGGTCCATTTAAAATAATCCTATAGAATAGGCCATCCTTTTAGTGATAATAATGTTCGTATTAAGTATGCAACAAGCTGTGTTTGGTTGATATGAAGAAAAGAGTTTTAAATGGTGAAATGTTTTTAGGATTCGAAGCCATTGAGTTGGGAGAGTTCTCCAGAGCGGGAATCGTCACCGCCTATGCCCTCTATACCACCTCCGCCTCCGCCGCCTATTTCTGATGAGGATCTGCCGCTTGAGTGGCCCGAAGACGCCGATGTCGTTGGGGAATTCAATGCAGAACCGAACTTATATGAGGATGAAACAGGACCTTACGGAATCGCTCTCTTTGACTACTTTACCGACCATCCGGAAGACCTTTGCTTTTCAGTAAGTACATTTTAATTTAAAACTTTATCACCTTTATAATTTTCTATCTGTCCTTCTGTTTGTTAATTCATGAGTCAGCCCCTATGTCTGACAGCAGGTTGTATCTCATGATCATGAACCTAATAATAGGTACGTTCTATAACAACAAAATTCGCAATACATTTAAAAATTAAATGAAATTTCATACTATAAACGTAACTTTTCGGCGTTTTTCGCACCACTTTATAACGATTGTTTTATTTCGAGTCTTAAATCCTTAACGGGTTTTATTATTGTTATAGTAAATTCAACACATTTCCCATATATGTGATATATAGAGAATCAAAACAAATACAAATAACGGTTTTGAAGATTAGAAATTATCAGATACGGAAATAAACAACTTAAAATAACTGGCGAATTCTAGTAAATATCTGTGTATTGGAAATTCGCCAGCAATTTTTGTTTGTATTCAATACCTACTTTAGATCTTTATAAGTTTTGAGAGTTTTAGATGTTTACCGATGTAGACACGATGTGTATAATAAATATGAGGCTTATCACATTAACCATGTCTTCAAACTACGATTAAAATTTCGAACTTTTTAAACAAAAAATAAAGCTTATACATTACATATGTATTTGATATTTTAGATAAAAAGGAGTAGTAAAACGAAGAGCAGTACACGATTTGCGTGGAAAAAAGTTTTTTAATACTACTTTTAAGCATTGGTTGGGAACTCCTAGGGGTTACATACTTACTTTCGGCATATAGAAGTTTTCCACCAGCTATGTAAGATTTGCTAGTAGGTCACAGTAGGTGCCTTTTTCCTTTTTATTTGAAAAATAAAAACTGCGCCAGTGAAATCCGAAGCGTAAAGTAGGGTTGAAATACAACAATTTTTCATATATATACATATATCGTCGGTGATATTCTGAAACCGCGGAACTAACAGGGTTTAAAACCGCGTATTAACAAAACTAGCAAAATCGAGATTTCGCGGGCTTAGCTTCGTTGTAGTGATTGGCTGCGTTCTGTGATGATGGCTGGGCCTATTATTCAATAGGAAGCCGTGGAATCGAATGTCTTTTAATCCGCGTAACGTCAGGTGATTGTTTATTGTGCCCAAACCGCGTATGCATGTAACTCGCTACTGGTTCGACGGAACCGTGACCTGTGATTTAAGAGCTACCACTTACGCATTATTTATCATTGATTATTTGACTAAGTTATTAGAAGAAGATTGCAGGGATGTTGTCATCTGGACGGATGACTGCACTGCACAGAACAGAAACTCAATAGTTTCTAATGCCCTTATAAGATTAGCAGTAGACAAAAATACAACAATTACAGAAAAGTATCTGGAAAAAGGTCACACTTAAATGGAGGTTGCCTCCGTACACTCCGTAGTGGAAAGAAAGCTGAAAAATGTTGAAATTTTTCTTTCTTCTCAGTATGCCTCAATTACAAAAGAAGCCAGGAAGCATCCTTCTCCATACCAGGTTTTTCAACCAGATTACACCTTTTTAAAGACTACAGTCTAAAAGAATACCAAATTTATGATTCCTTTCGTCCTGGGCGTTCTGCTGGAGATGATTGCGTAGTGGATCTGAGCGTTTTAAAGTATAATCCTAACGGCACAATAGAGTTTAAAAAACACTTTAAAGATGATTTCAGCCCACTTCCTCGGAGACCAAAACCTATTTCAGCTGTAGTTATAATGTACCTCCCCTGTATTCATCTAGACTGCCTATATTAGACAGTAAGTATCAGCACTTACAGCTATTAAAGAGTGTGATACCTGCAGATTGACACTTATTTTACGATAATTTGCCATTTAAGAAAAAGTAATGCTTTATTGATCTCATTTTTAACAAAGACCTCAATGTGCAATTATTATTCTACTCAGAAGTAATATTTATACCTATACGTTTTGTTCTTCATTTTTAGTTTTAACTGTTAATTAGTAAGTACCCTCTCGACAAGGTATGTTTAACACACTTAGCTATAAAGAGCTATTTTTTTTAACATTATGGGGATTTATGGTGTTCATTTCCTATATATTGTTGATTACCTAATGTACCGGTGATAAATATGTGCCAAAAATTAAACTCTGAAGTTGACTTAATAAATAATTATAGGATGTTGATTGTATTCTTTTGTTTTATTTCGGCGGACAATTCCGCTTAAGTGACATAAAAAACTCATTTTGATTTTATTTGAGATAATAAAACCGCGAAAGTCGATTTACTAATTAATTAATACATATTTAACATAACTAATGCCTACAATACCAAGAAGAATATTATAATTTGACAATTTAAATGTTTAAACAATAGAAAGTCATGTGATTCAGTAAATATTATGTTTTTCTTCGTTCCTGTAAAATTCACTGCACCTACCTTACGCGGTTTTAAACACTGTTAGTTAAGCGGTTTCAGAATATCACCGACGATATTAAATTTGTTGTATGCAATTATATGAAGCCTCGCACACTTCCATCAGCACTACTTATATGGAAAGACTGCGCGTACACCTTTACCTTTTTAAGTTTATCTTGTTTTAAATTCACATTTTGATTAAATTGCTGTGCTAATTCAATCCACAAAACAAAATTTGATGACCTCCGTGGCCGAGTGGTTTGTACGCTGGGTTTCATGGTGTCGCCGACTCGAGAGGTCCCGGGTTCGAATCCCGGTGAGGGCAGATGTTAGTGTGATGAATACCAGCATTTGCACTCCAGTCATGGATGTTTAATATATATTTCTAAATAAATATACTTATATATGTACAGTGTATATTGTATTCTATCCGTTACCCTAGTAGCCCATAACACAAGCCTTACATTGCTTACTTTGGGGCTAGGATAATTGGTGTGAGTGTAAAAAAAACTCCGCTTATACCTATTCAACTGTCGTTGGTATGACACGGTCGTTGTGTTGTTACAGCTGTTACGACGAACACAGGCAAATGTTTTAACGGTATCTTGTCTTTAAAGACTCGAATTAATCGAGATATTTTTCGCGTTTTACTCCTTTAAAATAATAGTTTAGTTACTAAAAAATTTTTTGACATTAAGTTCACAACTACCAAACATTTCAAAGAAGAATACCCCGGGCATTTGCAAATTGAACATTCATTCATACAATCACTGCGTGTTTCAATAGTAGGTTGGGTTTGCTAAAGCTATTTCCTTATGGACCGTTTAAGTGACTGAAATAAGAAAATTCCTCACTATCTTATGTACTTAATATTTTAACAATAAAGCATGGACTATAATTGTTTAGACTTCGTGGCTGGAAGCCAAGTGATGTCTATTTATAGAAGGCTTATGTAGGTGTAAGTTTTCACTGTTTATTATATCGATTGGTAGCTCACTTATTGTTAGCGTAAAACTATAAAATTATAACAGTTATCAATGGTAATAAGAACGTTCAAAACAACACGACAAGGATCATACTTTACTTTGTACATACATAGTGTAAGTGGCGCCCAGTCGTGAACTTAGTTGCAGAAAAAGGTGCCACTACAACCGCCCTCTCCTGACCAGCCTGAACGTAGTCGAAATAATATATAAACCACTAAAAAGCGAGAGAGTACTCCAATTTGAGCGAAGTATCAGCTATGGCTTAATCCTCTTTGATTATATATTTTGTGTGTCTGTGTGTGAGAGAGAGAGAAAAGTAGGAATTGACTCGTTTGTAATACTACGAGTACAAGTAACTTGTGACAAACCTTAACATGAATAAGATTGTTTTATACCTAACAACGTAAATAAATTATGAGCCCTTGCTGTTTTTATTTAGAATTTCCAGAGATACTAGCATTTAGGTCAAAAGATAATTATTATGAACAAGAAAAAAATATTTAAATCTCATTAGATATATATTTAAATGTAAATGAGCCAATAATGCCAGTGGAATAAAATATTGCTTTAAGTCAGGTAAATAATGTTAAAAAGATTTATTTTGAAAACCCGTTTTATAGGTTGCCTCCTTTTTGTAAAACTCGTAAAATAATGATCAATAAAATACGTAGTTTATACTTTCTTTTTGTCTAATCTGTAAACGAGCGACAGTGATAAAAGATAGAAATCGAATTCCTTTAATATTCTGTGTGAATAAGGCGAGTGGGTGCCAATTTATTATACCTGCTGACATTAGTTTTTATTATAAAGATAAATTGACTGTCGATATCACAAGCAAACATTTTTGTCCAGACAAACTATAACAATAACAAATTGTACATTTCAATAAACACTGAGCTATTATAATTGTTTCATTACGTAGTTAAATGACGTCACGCGAGTAGTGGTGCCATCTGCCTAGTGCAGGTGACGTTCGCGAAATGTTTGTTTTGTATTGGGCGTTTACGCGATTTTTCGATAATAAATTTATTATGAACAATATTTGCGATATCGTTCTTCGATGTATCATATCGGGCCTACCATTGTGTAGGTGTTTTACAGAACGATTGTAGACAGGAACTCGTTATCGTTATCACGCCTGGAACATCCACATGCTCGATTTAAATGACTAATTACTTTTTAATATTTAATGAACTCTGTAGTCTTCGGATTTTATGCGGCTTGGCTGTGGCAGCTTAGATAACAATAGTCGAAATCGGATTCTTTGAAAAAAGAAAACCTCTTTATTTGAACAAAATAGTTTCTAGCAAATAAACAATGATTATTTTTTAGGGATAGTATGAATAGTAAGATAAATTTTGTAAAATTACCATTTTGACATTCCACTTGCGATCCTTCACTCTTTAAATGTCTCTTCTTCTTCTCTATCCTGGTTCGATTCTTACCTTTGGGGCCTCTCGCGTGTCCGCCTAGACGACTCTGTCTGTGATTGGTGCGAACTTATTGCGGGCGTAACCCAGGGCGGTGTTCTCTCGCCACTCCTATTTTCATGTTTCATCAACTCAGTAACCAGAGTTATTCTCTCCAACTTTCACCTCTTCGCAGACGACTTGCAGCTATATCGCCATTTTAATATCGACGAAGTGGATTTAG